CCGTGTGATGATTGGCCCTTCGTCTTCGTCGTCATCATCGTCTTCCGCAAGGTCTCCCTTCACGATCTCTGTCGATTCTTTGACATCCTCCATCTCGGTATCCTTTGTTTCCTCGACGACTTGTTCAACATCGCCAGCCAATTCATCGACTTCGGCATCCTCCTCCCGAGGGCCGCTGCTTTCTTGGGTAGCCTCTTCGATTGTCTCGGGTCCCTTCTTCAGACCCTTAATAGAACGGGAAGACCGAGTGCGGGCCAGAGTCTCGGGGCTCCTAGAACGCGACGCAGGTCGGCCATGTTTGCCGGAGTTGGTGAGTTCAACGTGCTCCTCGCCGTACTCTTCGGTGTGGGCACGGGTTGATCGTCGAGTGGCAGGAGCAGGACCGGGGGTCGATGCAGCCTTTGGCACTTTCAGCTTAATCATTAAGCTGTCCTTTGTCTTAGGCTTGGGCAAATCCTCCGAGAGCACGTCATCTGACTCTTCGGCGGGGTCGGATTCGTCGTCGTCACTTTCTTTGTAGCTATTGTGCTTCGTCGCGGCCTTTCTTGATCTACGACCAGCTGCATTGACAGGCATGGCCTCTTCCTCTTCTTCGTCATCTTCAGAGACGAAGGAGCCCTCGTCTTGACTATCAGACACGTCGTCATCGTCTTCATCTTCAATGTCAGATCCTCGATAGCGGTTGTTCCGGCGCCGTCCACTGCCACCGGCGTTTTGACTCTTGGACCCACGCGATCGCTTCTTGGTGCGAACGGGGGGGCCATCCGCGTTGGGCTCGAAGTTCTCGTCATCAGAATCCGACTTGTTAGGATCGAAATCCTCGATGTTGCGCTTTCGTTTCGAGGGCATTGTGAATCGATTGAGTAATTAGACGATGTGTGGTGGGTGAAAGGTTTGGTATCGCGTTCTCTGAGTATTGTGCACGCCTGGGGAGCTACTGCTTGCTGCCTTAGGTACCTTGAGCCAAGGTCTGGATACCAACGATTAGCATATACATGCAAACAAGAAAACGCAATTAGAGGCGCTCCGGTAGAAGACAATGAGGTCAATCTCATTTTTCCTTTGCAGCGACTCAAAAGATGAAGGAAAGTAGGAAGGCCATACCAGTGTCTTAGCGCTCAGGGAGGATGTTGTGCAAGAACAATGGAGGCGTTAGGCAAAGGTGTTTGCGCGGCACAACGCCATTGGCTTCTGAGCAATCCGATCGCAAAAAGTCGAGTCGGCGTCGATGTCGACGACAATTGTTGCTGGCGATATTGCACAGCGAGGAATGAAAACGCCGCCTGCTGATGATAAAGTCGGATTCGCTGAAAAATCACCACAGCGCGTAGTTGCGCGCCGTTCACTCGGGTGAGGAAGGACGAGAGTCTGTAGAGTGGGTCTCACGTGCAGCGCCCACCAGCCACAAATGGCCCGAGCGTTTGACGCTCTCAGGCTACGAGACTTCCGCTTTGGAGAGTGTGGATCCATCTTCTTCGTACCCAAACGACTTCGTTGAGGGGGCCTCAATCTGAACGAAATCTGCATCTTGGAATTCTCTTTCCTTGACATTAGGAAATATGACTGTCTGTTCAATTTTCGGCTACCCGAGCACGGTCAGCGGCTCTGTCAACCCATGTTCGTCTCTACCTGTTGAAAGTCTGAAGCATGTCAATCACTCTGCAAGGATTGACGGTGCTCCTCGGCGCAAGAGGTTAAAAAAGTCGGGCCCGGGGTAAGTGGGCGGCGATGAGTGTCCACCACAAATTGTCGCATTGTCGCGACCGCATTATTGTAACTTGAAAGAGAGACATTGAGAGCCCTCGAATGAAGTGCAACTTCGGGCCACTGCGTCTTATCACTCAACGAAAACGCAAGTCAGACAGCCTTGGACAACCCGCTCGCATTTTGGGAGAGTGAGAAGCCGCGGCGCATAGATGCGCCTGATAATGACCGGTCAATGCCAATGATGTCATAACTCAATTTTCTATCGCATTCGGGCCTCAGAATGCTCATCTCTGAGCATCAGTTGTGGTTAGCAACGAAGGACGGGTTTTGGTGCTATCAAGTTTCGGCATATGGGTCGCCTGGGGATCTCAACCAACTCGTTCAATTTTCATCAACAATGAACCGGAAAAAGACCAACTTCTTCATGATTACTCTCTTAACGACGATACAATTTCAAGCTTCACCGAGTCGACCCTTCCATCAGCCCTACGGCTCCGAATCTGGGGTACCTAACCCGCAGGCTTAAGCTTCCAGGCGCCAAGGTCAGGAACGTGGCCGGGGAACGTGGCTGGTGCCCCTGGCTTGAGCAAGTCACTTGTCACTCTGGTTGGGGTCACGAGTGAGGATACCTTACTTACGTTTATGCCTTGCGGCCTGAGCAATTCTCGGTGCGCCCGACTCAGCAGGCATCCAGATAAACAAACATCACGTGCAGCGGCGCCGAGAGCCACAAACGGCGCTAAGCCATCGGCGTCGTCCGAACTTCGGTACGGCGTATGACTGAACCAACCAAGCTGACGACGCTGCCGTGCCGAGATACCGTCCTATTCGCCGACACCGAGAAGTCGTTCAGAGTCACGAGATAAAACCATGCAATGCGTGCATACCTACTGTATGCGGCCGTTATCTCGCCCACGTTCCTCGTTTCTTGGTTAACCGAACGAGACTCTGGCGAGACAGATTGTGAGGCTTGAGCAACGGGGAGGAAATCTGTTGTTGCTTCTTCCGGCGAACATTCGAAGGGGCCTCAAATTTTACATTTAAGCCTATCCCTTGTGTCAGCACGCCAGTTTTGAGGCCGTCGCGAAACGATCAGCCTAGGTTGCAGATCCTCGCGTAAAGACAGCCATTGGCGTCGTACGGGTACGCTACGAATGCGGAAGCATGTCATGGCGAACGAACACAAGGGAGCGCACCTGCATTAGCTGTTGCCTTACGAGGCCAAGCTCCACCTCTCCCACTCGGCGGCTCGCATTCGGTCGCGGCGTCACATCAATGGGGTAAACCGTGTCCAGCAGACCGGCCCTTGTGTGGGTCTGCTATCGACCGGCAACCCGGCCAAGTCGGCAAGCGGCCACTTGGGGCACAGCATTCTTAGACCAGGCGTCGTGAATCCATGCCGACCAAGCGGTCGTCAGCAGGAAGCCAAGAAGATAACGCCGTGTAGCCGTATCCAGCAATGACGAACCCTTCAAGAGCATTTAAGGACGGGTGCCCCCGCGGTCTGGACGGGTCTATCATTGCATTGTACAACCAATTCATCATTCAATCTTCAATTGAACCATCCAACCATTGAAGAAATCTACGTCCAAACAAACAAACAAGAAGAATCGTCAAAAGACACCAATCTCTTACATCATGTCTTCCCTCAACACCCCCAACTTCGACGCTCCTCGTCCCAAGAGCAGCCGCGCCGGCTCAGACGCAAGCTCCATCTCCGCAGACTCGGACACCTTCACCCACAGAAGGGCAGTCTCAACAGACTGCCCGCGCCCCTCGAAGCGCAAGTCCTCCCACTCCCAGACCGTCAACGTCTACACTCACTGCGGGCGCCACAGCTCGCAGTTCCTGTTCGGCGGCCGCTCCCTCACGGACATGGCCCGCAGCGTCTTCAAGAAGGACTAGGTTGTCATTGGGTTGAAGTGTTTGATATTTCGAGAGGGAAGCCCGAAACACCCATCAGAGGCGCTTCCAGAAATCGAGATTAAAACAATGATACCGAAAACAACACGAAGACACTGTCGGCAGCAATCCACCGTCCCTTCGCCGTCGCCGTACGCGATCGGACCGCGAGAGCCCCGCCAAGAAATCGGCGAGACCGGTGGAGCCCCACAAGGCTCGAGGAACCGGCACGCGGCTTCCGATGCCAAGCGGGAAACCGCAAAATTCGGCCTCCGATCCCCAGTCCTCATCCCCCCCTGCTATCCATGTCTTCCCTCTTTCTGTGTGCTCCATTGCCTACTGCAAGAACAAAAGTCCGCAGAGTGAAAGATAGATGCCGCAGGCTGAGATGAGGGGGAAAGGGGGAAGAATAGCCGACTCGTGCATGCAACGCCAAGAGCCAACACAGGAGACCCATTGGGAAAATTGCATTCATCGTTGCGCCCCGACCTCCCACACAGTCCACACTGGCCTCCGCGGTCACGTCACGCAAGACGAGACTTGGGGTCAATGGCCGGCCCACTCTACACTCCACAAGGGCATCATAGTCCGCGTACCCAATTCCTTTGGTTAAACCTCTCACATCTCCATTCCGGTGTCTTGGCAAAGTTCGCGCCAACGAGTAGCAGGAAGAGCTTGAATTGTGCCAAGTGAAAACCGTTGAATCGAACCGGGGGTCCTCAAAACAGGTCACCAATCACACGATGGCGTCGTCAACCTCTTCCGTCGTTTCGCAATTGGACCTTTCATCACTTTACGGATACTCGCACAATAGCAGCCTCCTCCTTCTCCCTCTCCTTGCGAGTGACCCATCAACTTGTCAACTTGTCCGGGGTTGGGGTGCTTGACGCCGCCGCCCTACTGCGGAGAAAGGAACCAAGACGAAAACCAGACGGGCCCAAGAGCGTGACATCGCTCCGGTCAACGTCCGTCCATGTCGTTCATTGCTTTTTTCTATCTCGGCCTGCATCATGCATGCGGATACGATTTGCTCTTACTTGAGCCAAGAACGACGTCCCGCCCACGTTTTCGTTTGTCTTGCTTCGTCATTTGACGGAGAAAGGCGGACAAAGCCATGGCCGCAAATCCGGGGTTTCGCGAAGGAATGGATGTCATCGGAAAAGGGGAGAGGAATATTCGGCACAGTTTACTGCCAGAGTTTCTAAGAACATGACTCTCGTGTGTGCGCGGATTCCGTGGACATAAGCACCGGTGCTCGAAAGGCGTTTATGGATTGATACCATGGAGTCAAATTTTACAGATTAGAATACAACGTTTTACATTGAACTTTTTGGATCATTGCTCTTATCTTTCTGGACCCTGTGCTTCGTCCACGCCGAGAAGCGTAAACCCTGTCATGCTTTGATTGTATTTTGTGATATCTGTACGCGTACGCTGTATCCGTACACATCTACATACGCTTCCATTGCAACAAGCCGTTTTTTTCCGTATCTGTATGACCGCTCATATGCACAATATGTATGCTCACCAGCCTCCCTCCAATGTTGTTTCCCACATCTTTACTCAATATGCAAATCCATACGTAAAAACACCCCTCGTAAACGCCAATTGAGCCAAAATTCCGTCTCCGTGAGATCCACATCATTAACCACCCAGCCCCGAGTATACAGGATTAAACGAAACAATCCACACGCACCCCAAATCTTGTTTCTTCCTCCACATCTCTAAATCTCGCCTACCCTTCTGACCCAAAGATCAGGTTGCCCCAAGGCTCTAGCGTATCTAGCCAGAATCGGTTCATCCTGCCTGTCCCCCGCCTTGATTTCCTCACGGTGACACGGCATTGAGCATAACCCTCGAGTTCTCCAACAAGTTCCTCTGGCCGGGCACGTTTTGCGTATACCGCGAGTTGAACTTCATCACCTTCTTGGCGGCGCGGTACGTGACGTCGTCGACCCTCAACGGCTCCGCCACGACGTTCCACGCGATGCCCTCGGTGCACGGCGGCGTCGTGAGGGACCCGTCGTACTGGTAGACGTCCGATCGCTCCAGGTGGCGCTTCAGCTCGCCAAAGTTGAGGCTGTTCGTCTCGGCGTGCGAGCCCGGCTCCTCGACCTCGTCGAGGTAGGCAAAGACGTTGGCGAGCAAGGGCGAGGGAGCGCGGTTGTCGACTTCAATGAGGAACCCCACGACGGAGTTGCTGGGGCCTGTGGAGTCTATGGGGGAGAAGAAACAGTTGGTCAGTCTTTTATCCTACTTCGTACTCCACCCTTGCAATCCACACGCCCCATCTCGATACAGGAAACAAGATATCGTAAAAGCAAATTCGTACGGAGTACAGGTAGGTCTTCTTGACTCGTAGCTTTTAACGAGAACAAGGACCATGGAAAAACTTGGAAGGGGCAGAAGGGGGGAAGACTCACTCTTCAACTGCTGCTCATCGGCCTCAAAGACAAAATGTACCTCCATGGGGAAGTACTCGCTATCAACCCTATGTTCACTAGGCGTGTGGAAATGGAACTGCCTTAGGTGAAATTTGCGCCCACGCCTCATCAGCGTGCCGTTCTCAGCCACGACCTCGAGCGTGCTGCCCAAATTCTCAAACGCAGCGCCGTGAGGCAAGTCAGGCACGTCGAAATTCAAGCTCGTGCCGGGGACGAGCGTCGCCGAGGTGTCATTGAGGTTGATGGGGCTCTGCCACGCACCCGTGGCGCATTTGGAAGACTGGTTGTTGTGGCCGTGCCAGTTGAGGGGACCCGTGAGGTCATCGTAGCCAAACTTTGCGACCTCGACCAGGCCGTCCTCGCCGCGGACCGCGATGCCGCCGTGGCTCCGGCGGTAGAGCGATGTGCGGTGGTGGCAGATGGCCGAGGCCAGGGTCACGAGGGGGAGGAGGAGAAGGGAAGACTTCATGGTTTTGGTGTATTGGTGTAAGTCGGAACCAGGGCAGGGTTGGATATGGATTCTTGAAATATAAGCAGTATTAAAGTTTTCCTCGGAGAGGCAGAGAGAAAGGGAATGGGCTCAAGTTTGGTGAATAGCAAGCCCCGGGAGGAAGGGGGACGGAGGACCTCTTTATCCTACCTTTCGGTCTTCCGGGAGACAGATCTTGACAGATCCTTCAGGAGGTGCCCGCTCCAGTCCGGGGCAAAGATAGGACCCAGGAGCAGGAGGCACGCCCCCAAACAGACGCCGCCACCTCACGAGGTTGGGCATGACAAACAGCACACTCACTGCGGCCAAGGAGTTCGCCTCCACACAATACTTTGGCCTGCATAGCTTGATTTCTTGGTGGTGCTTGGTTCCTTGGGTTAAGCAATGGCCAGTCCAGTCTACTCCGCGACTCCACCAAAGAGGGAAGAAAGAAGTCCCCACGCCCGTCTGACTGGGGTGTGTGGGTGTGTGTAAGGGTTGGCGAGAGTAGGAAAGGAGAGTCAGATTCTGGGACCCCGTCAGATGAAGATCCTCCAAGAGCCCACAGGAGCCAGGTTCACTGAAAGGCGCCAAGACAACAATACGCGCGCATGATGGGAAAAAGGGACGGCAGCATGCGGATGGGGAGGCAAGGCGACAAAGAGGAACTACGACAACCAGCGGAAACTTTGGGTACATACTCAGGACACTTGCATAGCGGAGAAATGCGGCGACTGACGGATTCTCAACTTCCAAGACATCAAATGAATACGAACATGGGTTCTCATTGGCAAAAAAGTGGTTGACAATCAAAAGCCGCCCAGGCTCGGTTGCTGTAAATCTCTCGCTTCGTGTAAATTTCGTGCTGCTTAACGCCAAGAGCCTTTCTTCCCATTCGAAAGCACTTTATGTTGTAAAACTTCCGTCAACTACCTAGGCTTTGAAAGAAAGAAACAGGATAGGATACATAGTGAGCCAAAAGGGCACAAAGCATAGCCGCGGTACTTCAAAATCTCGGTGTTGCTGACCGTGGCGGAGGGAGCCCTAGGCCGGACGGAGAATATGGCACAGCCGAAATCTCACGCCCACTCCTATCAATAGTGCTCACCTCTAAAGCGTCAACCGCGACCACATGGAAACCTGCGCCAAATTGCTTCGAAATCAAGGTTTGCCGCGAGGCAGTCGAGAAACCAAAGAGGTGGGAGGTCACAAGGATGATCTAAGGTTCCTTCGCTCCAGGTTCTCAAGAACCGTTAAGTCCTGCCATAGATGATGGAGCCTCGCGTAATAAGGCGTGTACCACCAATGCGATGCCATCTACAGGGGAATTTAACTCTCAGTCCAAGCTTCCAATAAGCGCGATCTAGCATAATAAATCACACTTCAGCATCAGCCTCCACCATTCGGCCAGGGATTTATGGCGCTTATCCCTGAAGTACAGATGTTGTGAGCTTGTGACGAGTTTACAAGCCACGGATCAGTCAGCCGCCAAATTATCGACATCGTCGGGTAATTTTGTTTATGCTTGTGTCTCCCGTGTAACGAGCGATTCATGTACTGGATGACACTGGAAAACGGGGCATACTCTGGTTGTGGCAGCTCCTCCGGCATGGCAGAGACGGCGGCAATCGACATTACGTTTGTTCTTGCCCAATGCTGTGAGACCTCAATTATTACCGGCCTAGGGTCCTGTATGTCGAGCTCGGCAAAAAAGGTCCAGACCACGCAAGCGTGTTTATTGTGCTGTAGCTTTCTCTCAGATTTCACGGTGCTGAACGTCCTCTTCCCAATAGCCGACGCGACCGGGAAATTCTCGAGCGCCGCATCATCAATCCGGGGCGGGGAGTGAAGCGGGCTGGTAGTCCTGGGGAAAGCTGGGGGTCATGTCCATTATAAGTTAGTTGGTACAAAAAACCGTTCGATGATCGTCACTGTACGTTGCGATCCCCGGTGAGACATTTCTTCCCCCCCGGTCGGCTTCTAGTTCCATGAGGGGGTTTGGGGTTTTGCCATTTGGTTGGCATGTTCGCATTCTTAGTGACTTGGTCTGGTCTTTTAGACTTTCGAGGTTAATCCAACGTCGATCGGAACATGGCCGAAGCTGGTGGGGATTGAAGATGGAGATCGTTTCCCTTCAATCAGTCCTGCTGGGCAATAAAAGTCGTACTTACCCCTTGACTTTACTTTACCTCTCTGATTACTGGTTCAGAGTTCCACTGGGACCAAATCTCAAGGTGCAACTGGATAAGGCTTCCCCTCCTCTGTTCTCTTGGCGTCGATGTCATTGTAGAGCTATCCTTGCAAATATCCCAGTCGTGAACGGATAAGCATGGCCAAGTACACATTGATGCCCTAGCCATTAGCGACGATGAGAGTTGTGTTGAGCTTCTTCGTGCAAGGCCTGTTCCGGAGCGCGTATTGCGTCTTTCGGTTCCTCTGTCATCTCGTCGCTGGTGAAGTCCAGGCTGAGGTGCGGTTGTCACCAAACATCCGTCATACAACACCCTGAAGAGTGCACTTTCCAAGAGGAAGAATTGTACAGACTGTTTAGTCTTCGGCCTGGATCTCTGGCCTTCCGACCAAGGAAATGTGATGCTTTGAGGCTTACATGGACTGGCCGAGCTGTTTGTGATACAGAGAGCTTTACCCGTTCATAAACCACTCGCCCGGGTTGTGTTAGAGCTCCTACTCGCAACCTCGGATATGGTCCCTTGCGCTCTCGCTTGTCATACAACAGCCTTCCGGCCCAGGTACATCACGCTCCAGTGTATACCGCGGCTTAGTGTCGACCCTCCACTAGAAAGACAGAACAGTTGCTCTTAAGAGGCTTCTAGCACACCTTCAAGTGTCGAACCCTCCATCGTCGCTCGTTCATGAAATGGTCCAGTCTAGAGGTCACAGTACATCAAGCTTGAGGCTTTGCATATTCTACAGTATTCCGAATTTGATGACTCGGAATTGAAGTCAGTCGACACATCTTGGTACTCTTGGACGGAGAAAAGTGTCTAGTTCTCAAGGTGCTCTCGGGCCGGTGACGAGTCCTCTTGTTCTTTCGCGGATGAGATCGAACCGAATAAGACATAACTCGACGACCAACATGCCAGCCCAAGACTCTCGCGTGTTCGCGAGCGCGACTCACAACTGGCGCTGGGCTCGATGAGATGTACCGTTTCCCTAACTATCAGACATCATTGTTGGTTTATTAAGACTAGCATTGCATCATAAACACCTCACAAGTGAGATATCTATACCCCGAGGCTTCACCTCTCCTCGGGCATGATGATTTCCAACGCAAATGCCCATTCCAATCTCTCCTAGGACCATGCCCTCACATCCGTGAAGATAGGTATCACCAAGTAGTCAGGCAAACTTGTGCCATCGGCCACCCGCCTACCCGAAGTCCACAAATATTCCCGCAATCGACCATCAGACAGGATCGGCCACTGATCCGCCGGCCATGCTATAACATGACAACGGGATACGAAGCCTGCAATGATAGATCCGTACATCACTTATCGCCCGTCCCGGGCCCCAGCATGAGGCTCAGAGCGTAGTTACGAAAACTTCTGGCCGTCGTCTCGTTGCTCGCTTCCGCTTCCAAATCCTTCCCGCTGCTGTGTCCCATGCGCACTAGCAGTGATGATAATCCTGCCGAGACCTCAAGAAATTCATCTCGAAACTCCTCCAAGTGAACATGAGAAAAAAGTACTTTGAGAAATGACGTCCAGCTGCCAAAATTCAGTTATTCAAAGCGGATGGTAAAAAGCTTACACTTAGTTGCCCTTGTAATAGCATCAAGGTCCTCAGTAGTAGAAGTCACCCCGATAGCGTTTACTAAAAGCCTCGAGTTTTAGGTTCTCCTTTTGGATGTCCGGGTTCTTCTGCGAAGGTCTCGATCCTTCAGGACCGACCTAGATCGGTTCCAGCTGTCAAGAGACATCACACGCTACGATGTACGCAGGATAGGGCAACAAGACGCCAGAACTTTTGCTGTATATCCCATCATGTATTCTCGTATCGTCAATCTAGTACATTGAGGCTATTGAGAGATAGCATTGAACCTGCACGCAGCCCAACACAAATCAATATCGCTGAGACTTTTGCCCAAGTGTTAAAGATCCAAAGAAGCAAAAGAGTTCGCCCCCCCCCCCGGTGCTGAACTGGGGGCTACATCTCCTGGCGCACACGACGGGAAAATCTAACTCGAACTCGTAGCCTGTCGTCGAGTAGGCTGGTTGCCGAAAGTTGTTGGCCATTAACCACTCCACCACTCACGCCATAGTTTGACCTGACCCCCGACCTAGAAGGCGCCTGCTATGCTGGTGACAGAAATTAAATTGGAGGGGAATATGAAGGCTTGTTGTCTATTCAGGTGGGCGGGTCAATGATCAGATGGAATGACATCCTGAGGTATCCGTCCGGACGTCACCTGCCTCATGAGGTCCGTCTTCGTGTACCAAGTACACTACGTGTTAGAGAAGCGTACCGGTTAGCGAGAACCCGCATTCACATCAGAATATGAGGAAACACGCTCACATGACATTGGACTGGTCTTAACTCCAAGACATCGAATATTCCCTGTTCACCTCCATCACCCCTATACTGGCAACAAGAAGCATAATGAAGGAGCTCCAATCCCTTCGTCTACCACCAGTCGGGCTTTTAGGAGAACACGAACAAGAGAATCACTATAACTCACCTACGTAGAGAGAACCACAAGGATATCTAGCGTTGCGGGAAAGAGCCGCACTGAAACGTCACCGCCATAACTCTTCTTCGACCCCCCCTTCCTTCTAACCATGACAATCCCCTCCTTCCTCTTTTTGCGAGTTACTCCCCTTTCATGCTTCTTGCCAGCTTTGGAAACATACGTACGTCAGATGTGCGTGTCCTTGGGCGAAGGAAAAAGGCAGCAAATCAAACCCCATGAACTCAAACCAACGCTGCGGCTTCCTAAAGATGAATAGGAAACTTGCAGCGTCTCTTCCATAGCACAAAAATATACTGAGCAGACGACACGGGCTCCATGGATTCGGTTCACGAGGGAATGCAGGTTCTTCCCGGAGACTTCAATGTTCTGGTAGGTACAAGGTAGGTTGTGGTAGGGAGCAAACGTTGGAGCCAGTTGTGACTTGAGCGTTCTACTGGCCATGTCATGGTGTTGTACAGCATATACACCGCTTTTTCTTGAACAAAACCTTTGGAATTCGTTCAATCCTGAATTCGGACGGATGAAGGACACTAGCAGTTGGTCAAGAATCAGACTGTCCCATGGTAAATACGGCAAGGCAGATTAGGTGACTCTAAGGTCTCCGAATATCTACGCACTCGATGCCTCGCTAACACGAGGTGAATGTCGTACCTACCAAGGTCAAACTAATACTACCTGTACCAGCCGCCGGAGACTACACGCCACCGGCCTGCCTTCCTCAATTGGACCAGAGACACACCACGGCCTCGGGCCCGATGGTGGAGATATCTCGGAAGCCAGATGGCCGATACTCGTGCAACCCACTCACGTGCCAGCCCATCAGACGACACGATCTCCTTCGGGGACCCGGACCAAACATCCCAATGCCCGGGAAAGATCGCGTGAATCTAGCACAACATCGGCAAGCCAGGGGGAGAGGCGGAGGAGGAAAGGGGGAAAGGGCGAAACATTTCCTCATCCATCGCACAGCGTCCCGCAAGCCATGTGCGACGCCGCATCCCGCCCATTGGGTCGGGCGGTGACACTTACCCTCTCTCCCTCTTAGCCGCAAGTAAGAAAGAGTTCAGCGAGAACTAGCCATAGTACTGTTGCTTCCGTGGAACAATCTCGGAGAGGGCTGAAGAGGGAAGCGTGTCAGTCTTCCGCAGCAGGTTCCGCGCCGGACCCGACGTTGAACGACCGGTCACTCCGCTCGTTCATATGGGAAAAGCCCTTGGTATTGTTGATACTGTTGCACGGCGTGCTACACCACTGCAGGTGACCGCGTACGGGAGTGGACCGAAGGGCCCGTCTTTCGCGGCCGTCTGGAGTATGCCAGCCACTACCCGGCTTGGCTCGGAACAGTGATGGTGGCCGGAGTGAACATGGAGGCCCCGAAAACAGGGGTGTGGGTACGGCTACGGATACAAACTTCATGAGGAGGACGGGCGGCGATGCTCCATCTGCACAGCAACGCTGCGAAGTGAATGCCTTCGTTGAGTCTCGTTTGGTAACTTGGCCAGAAAGGTCGCTTCGGTAGTGGAAGCAGTCGGTATGTATAGCCATGGTGTCGTTTCGCTCACGAATGGTCAGTTGACGGCCATAAGCGGGGAATAATTGACCTCTTAAGGCTCCATATGTCCAGGAATGGCTTCCGTTCACAAGGGTAAAGGTGAGGACTTCCAGGTTGGAACTAAACATGAGCCATATCCAGTGGGTTCGGTGAAGTCCAATTGCCTAGAACGGCAGGCCATTTGACTGGGATACCTGTCTTCTTGGCCTTTGAGGAAACCGGCCGCCTCGAGATGCTGTGCTATTGGGGGCCAACTCATTGCAGTGGCTGGAGCGCGCGGCCGGTCTGCCCTGGGCCTGACGATTTATTGAAATGCTTTAATTGGCATCACCTTTGATCATTTCTCCGATGACTGTGGCTTAAACGAGCACACAATTAGTTACTGAGCCTCGCTAATCGCTCGCGGAAGACGTCGAGGCCTCCCGGCCTCGGCAGGATACACTGATTGATGAGAGGCATGGAATTGATGAGTGCGGGGATGGAGGTTTGGTTCCGTTCATCTCACCGCAACTGATCCGTGATCCATCATCAAGGATGGGGCGTCCCCGTCAGACTTCAGTGGACAAACTCGGGGTCATGCCCGGTCTTGGCCACACCATTCGCAAGCACCCTCGGGGCCTTGGGATCGTACCCACGGGTGGAGGAGAATGGGTCCTGCAAGATATCACCGATGGGCCGGCCAGTGTGGCCTCATCGGGAGTGCTTCGCGCCATTGCCTTTTGACCTGCATCGTCTGCATCGCTTGCAGCGCTCGTGGTGCGCCGTCTGCTGCAGCTAGAACTTGATCGAAGCACTTGCGTTGCCTTTTTCACGATGAATTGGCTCTGCGATTCGTCGCCGTTGTCGCACGGGGCCCGCCAGAACGGACGAGAAAATAGAGACGGACTGTCTCTGGTAAAATGATCGTCGCCCGTCATCCTGCCGCTAGACTATACGGGCGATGGCGTTGTGGATAGTCGCGCTGCCGACTAGAACACGACGCCAGGAACCCACAACTCTTGATCGTGGGGCGACAGAAGATGCTGTGCAAGTGAGTCCCTCAGTCCTTGACTCCTTCGACTGTCGAGAGCCACTTATTTCGCTCCATGGCCGAGAGCGGGCCTCCTGATCTGGCACTGTCGTTCGTGGCTTGCTTGCGCCAGTCTGTGGGCGAGAACGGGGGCCGCGCAAGTGGTGAGGCCATCGGCGAAAAGTCTCGATAATTTCCACTTCCCGCCATGGGGAAAACGTTGGCCAAACACCCCATGTTCGAGATTTCTGAAGCATAGGCTTTTGCTGTGTTCTGAGAGACCGCCTGCGATTTCATCTTTGCAGACAATTGCGAAGCGAGGGAGCAAACTTGGAATCTCCGGGCTGTTCTGCATAACAGTAATTGTAGTATAGGCCATCGAGAATACGCCATGGCGACTTTCATGGATCAGACCCTGAATATCCCACTGCTTGCTTGTTGCGTGTGTGCGTGTGCAGTGTGTTGGCAGGGCAGGGTCACAACTGGCAGCCAAGCAACCCCCCCCCCCCCCCCCAGAACGCTGTTGATGGCCGCTCTCCAACCCCGAAGCGATCACTACCAAGTCGGTCCGGGGCCAAGAAGATCATGATAGGACAATCTCCACAGAATGCTTCTGATCTTCAGCGGTGCTGCCAGGACATCCGCAGGAATCATGGATTTGACCTTGGAGGAGGCGTTGAGTTGTTGTTCCTCCTGCAGTCTAATACAAGGTTGATCCAGACAGAAGACTGAGCAGTGAGATGGACTGCCCTGCTCTTCACATACTGACACTGACTGTTGGGAAGAGCTTGCCGTGCTTGCGTTGATAGCACATCGTATTGCGTTGTGCTGCCAGATCCATCTTCCAGATCCAGCGATCCAGGGACACAATCGCACGAATTAACACAGGCTTGACGGGTCTGTGCCGTAAGACTGTTTGAATCCTGAGAGAACAACTCCTCTGAATCGCGCTGCTGCTTTTAAAAAAGGGTCGCGCGCGTTGGTGTGGTCGATTCCCCGCAAGGCCTGAGAGCACGCAGCAGGACAAGCGCATGTGAAGCTGCAGCGTTGCAGTGGACGGGATCCGGGCTGAACCAATAATGGCTCGCCATTGCTCCCCCGCACTGCATCAGAAGAAATGATGGATTGAAGCCATCCCAGTTGACCGAGATGAGGAAAAAGGAAGCACTCTCATGCAGCCCGTCGCGCCTCTGTGCTTGTTGTCATTGCCGGTGGCGGGTGGAACGGACGCGGTGGGCGCGCGACTGTCGAATAAGATACCACCGTATCAGCCCTTCGACGGATGGGCCGCATATCAATCTTGTAAATCGTGCTGGGCTGAAAGCTTGGGGGCCAGGTGAGATTGAAACAGCCGACAAAAGAAAAGACCCGTGGGCTCGATACCCGCATGGGCTAGTCCAGACGTTGAGCGCGCCCCCCAACCGAACAATTCGAGAACAACTCGGCCCTAGACGCAGGGAAGTTGCTAGAAGGGCATCACGAGCCTAGACACCCGATTGACGAGAGAGAGAGAAGGGTGGGACATGTGGTCCGTGGAAGCTCATTGCAATCTGCTTCGGCACGACGTTGAGCGGAAGGATAGGTAGTGAGAGCCCTCCATGGTCCTCCGGCTGGACAAGATTGAGTGCCGAGACACGGCTCAACAAGCAGCAAGACGGATGCCATGTTTTTCGCCGCCACTGGTACTCGGTGTAACAAAGTCTCTTGACAAGTATCAGATCGGAGGTTGGCATAGTCGAGGCTCGAGCCTACCCACGCAGGCTTGCGACCCTGCATTTGCTGGGCAATGCCGTCTCTCTAGATGTGGCCCGGCGTGACTGGCCCGATACGCTGCCGAAGACCGATATGCCCGCGTCATCGAGTAGTGAGGTCCCGAGAGGAGGCGGCGGCCCCGTTCGGTGATATCCTGCCAGATCGGGTCATACTCGCGGGAGAGAACAGCGAGTACTCCGTACCCTTGTGGCTTTGATAATGAACGTGTGTGCATCGAGATGGTTGTTGGAACGAGTCGAACGACCCGTCTAACTGATTGACGGCCCTCCAAACAGCCCAGGGGCCTGTGAATTGAGATAGACTCGCATTGCGGATGGAGTTTCTGTCAGTGCAGGATGCAGGTGAGCTTGTTTCTATGCCGGTGCGCAGCTTCGACCTAGCGTCGTGATCGGGTCCAACAGCAGAGAGAAGGTTCGGGTCTGCGAAAAGAGAAAAGATTTGGCGACGGGGATCCAGGCAGTCTGCCCATGAGATGTCGTGGACAGGGACTAGGGTGTGGTCGGAAATCTTTCACAATTCCTGCGGAGGCTTTGCTCCCGACCGACAAGCTGAAAGAACACCTCAATTCTGATTAAGGTAGTCCTGGTCTCCTGGAGAAAGATATTGCTGGAAGCTGCCGAAAGTCTGTCGATGATGATGAAAACTTGACGGGCCGCCTGAGCCTTTGGGCCGCCAAAGAATCCAAGACCGGACGAGCGAGACAACTGCAAGAGCCATGCATGTCTGGACTCTGTTGTGCCGTCTCTGCAGGCTCAGACAGAGACAATCCCTTTCCTCCAAGCTAAGGTGGTGGTTGCCGCAAGCGTTTCCATGCCCAAGTTAATTCTGCTGGCAAGGAGGCACCTGTCAATATCGAAATCACATACCGCGAGTGTTGAAGCATCGGCGTTTGGGACCGTCGTTTCAAGCAGACAGCGGCTCGTTTCCGTCGAGACGATCGTGTCACCCGTGATCAATCATCCGTCACCTGGCCTGGGCTTTGCCTCGCGCCTGTAGTAGGTGCGAGCCGTTGGCTCCGACGGCCTCCCTTTCAGACGTTCTCATCCAGGGTCATCGCCTGCGAAGCTTCTTGGTAATTGTCTTGGCCCTGGGTGAAGCTCAGTGCCAACCCACTAGGTACAGATGCTCGCAGCAATACTGATGCCAATCAGCGCCAGCAATAGGAGAGGCGGATGAGAAGCAACTGTGGCGGCGCGACCTAGGAAAGGCATGGTAGTTATCCGTCCGGCATACTGACTGAACTTGTAAACCCGAACGCTGGTCGTTTACTCAACTTCTCATCCACACTCCATCCTTGCCATTGTCCTGCAATTTTGTTCAATGCCGCTCAATGACCTCCAGTTGGACATGATCTGATCATACGGTCGACCAACCTTGACCTTGTGTGCTTACTTCAGCATCGAGAGATTGAGCGATGACATCGCGCGGGTGCTTGGATGCATCATCTGCGAACAGGTCGTTCGATCTTTACACATTGCAAAAGCCCAGCAAAGTAGCCCAGGACCACGGGCATGGGCGCGCATCATCCATGGTTATTAAGGGCTCCCTGGTTGAGCATGGCAAATCTCGGGATCAATGCGTAGATGGAATGGAAAAGCAACATGAGCTGCAAAAAACAGTTGTGCTCGGTGTACAGAGTACTCCGTACGGATACAAGAACTTCATGCTTCCCTCCAGCAGCCCCATTTGTTCTCGGATACACTTAGACAGCCAGCACCACCACAGGGCTGAAGTGGCTGTCAGGCATCTGGAGTTTGTGCGTAGCATAGAAAGAGTATTCGCAGTGAGAAGCAAATTGCTTGCGACGGGGCGTCTCCTTGTTCGTTATGCTGGCGGGTCCTGGCTTGTTTCGATAGTTGCTGACGGGAAACCTTCCCTTCATTTCCAAAGCATGAGCTTCTATCCGTACGAATAACCTACGATGCGGAGTACGGAAATTTAGCTGGAGCTGCCCGTTGGCGTTCCCCAGCCAGAGGCCTGCATCATCTCACCGCGATTCGAGCCGTATGCGTACTTTGGCCTGCTTTGTACTCGCACTTGTGCCGAATGAGTTGCATCTGATAATCTGCATCTGTATCCGTACGAAGTTGATCTCGTCTCGCTCGCATCTTCAAGCCACCTGCTAGATTGCTAGCATACGAGCACATCATATCTCATCGGCAGGGGCGCCGGAAAGTTGTAGGGGCCGCAACGCCGCCGCCATATCGCCGCGAAAAGCGATCATGGCCCGTTAGCAAGCATGCTAGTCTGTTAGCCTGTTAGCGTCGTTTCCACCTTACCCCCGCTGTCGTTGCTAACAAGAACCCGTCTGTAGCCTGTGAGAATCTCGTGTGTACGTGTCGTGCTCATCCTGCTTGTCGTCGCGGTCGATGGTGCTGTGTGTAGCTGTTGCCGCCACTTTCGGTACGAGAAGTACATGTACGAAGTGGGTCGCACATAGCGTCGCCCCTTTGCATGTAAGTGTTCGTGCATCCCACGTACAACATACCTCGAATGTCTCTCCATTGCCCGCCTCTTTCGTGCCACTGGCGACCCGTTGGTCGCTGGCCGACGACTTGTCTTGTGGACCCCTGACTGATCCCTCGCCGTGGACTAAATATAGTGTGTGAAAGCGAGCTAAGGCTCAAAGTCAAAGGAAGGTAAGGAAAACGAGTAGGCATGGAAGAATGAAGGAGTAAGGAAGGGAAGCTCAAGTGAGGTCATGAGCATTGCAATATCAACAAGCCCAGAGATCAGATCAGATCGAAGGCTGAGCTCTAGCCAACGTTATCAATGCTGTCAAGAGCGGCCGGTCGAATGAATCAATCAGGCAGGTCGGGGTGCAGCCTACTGAGCGTGGTCCTTACTATCCGTACGTGCGTGTGCGTTAATACTACATATGATGACTACTACGTACAGATAGTGTGTTGTGTATGTGAAGTCAACGGTCGATTACCTGAGCGGCCCCGAGAGTGTATCTCCTGCAGGCTGCGCGTAAGACAAAATCATACGGCATAGGTATCTACCTTCTTTCTGCAAGGCGTTGAGGTTCGGATATAAATCGCATCTTCCGGGTTTGCTGGTATGGTGCTGCTGATGTCGGCGCCAAGCTGCGGAGTCCATCACGAACGGCTTCTTTCCCCATCTCACATCTCCCTGTCGGTGACCACCCGGACGTCCAGGCATACCGGATGAAGTGCGGCGGCGGCAATAACTCCAGTAAGCTCCAGTCTCTCAGATGCCCGCATAATTCGTACGAATTGGCCTTGTCTCTTGGTCGTGGGGTGGGAGGCGGAGAGTGGACTGGGCAGGATGGTGAAGTGGCCCTGCAATTTTTTTCCCTGTCGAAAACAGGGGACGCCATCCCTTCCGATATGCAGGTAGCATTACCTCACCACTAGCAAGGCAAAGCCACCGTGGTGGGGTACTTTGTAAGTTGAATACGGAGAAGCGTTCCCTTCTGCCCCTTCGTATCCGCCGATTATCACACGTAACCGGTGACTGACGACTGCACCCGCGCCGCAGACTGCACTGCAGAAGGGGGAGAGACAGATCCAGAGACAAGATTGAGGCGAACCAAATGGTGATTGGCCGGCAGTGTTGGTGAGGCATGTTGTTGTACCGCCGTGGCGGTCTGTCGTCCAGTCCGCCGAGAGATGCATCGACAAGCTAGGTAGAATCTCCAGCTGGTGAATCCAGACGGCCCAGTAGAGTACGGAAGTGTCTAGTATACTACGTACATGCGTCCCTTTGTTGGATCTGCTGGTGAGTTGATGACATTGGTCGAGCCGAAGAATCTGCATTTCGTCCCATCGTGTAAGAGTCTGGAGCCTTGCTAGGTATGGGTTTGTGTGTGAGTGCGTACGTGTGCGTGAGTGTGCCTCGATCCCGAAGAACTGGCTCCTGCTGAATTTCAGCACTTGGGCACTTTGAGTAGCTTGTACATCCATACAATGCTGTCGTGTACTGAGCCTAAGGGTCCTCTGGCAAGGGAGGCTGAGGAGGCGTACGGCTACTGTGAAGACTCGGCAGCGTGAGGTCAGATAACCTAGCACGGGCGGGCTTTGGAGCGTGAACGTTGAGGGGGAGGGCTTCGAGAGCTGGACGTTTCGTTTCCGCCTCCTTGGACGTTTTCTGACGCGCGATGGATGGACGTTGCGCGTTGAACATGTCTCTGAGGCGGTGTTGCGTCTTTTGGTCTTGGGCCTTTGGATTAAGCTCAAGCATCCCATCTTTCTCATCTGACAGTGCCCGGACCTATGCCCGGTGTCGCATGGGAATGGCGGTTGCAGGTAACGGTGGTGTTCTCTGCATGCGCAGGAGTTGAGATGGTCATGTTGAGCGTGCTGTTATTTGTTGTGTACTGCGGTATTCGTGTGGGTGTTTGTGTGTGAGGTGGTTGTATCTGCAGCGCTCTTGCTTTTGCTCTCTGGCGATCCTCAAGCGCAAGAGGCAGGCTAAGGCTACCCGAGTACGGATACCTACGCAAGTCTTGGAGGGTAAGGTACCTAGGTATACGTACGGAGTACCTGCCTTTGGGTAGTGGCAGTGAATACCTAAGATAGGCACGGGCGTGGGATTGGTGCACCGGCACGGTAAGTGATAGAATGTTGTGGTTGTGTTTTTTGTTGTTTCCCGAATCCCCTGGGGCTTCCTCATTCGGGACACAGGACACACACAGGAAGGGCACTCTGAGCGCGGCGGGCATTTCCAGTCGCCCAGGAGCAAGGGGTCGTAGCGTGGTCGTGATTCGCCGCTTTTCGTTCACCCGCCCAATGACAGATTGCCAAAATTCTCCAAGCCGAAGGGACGTCTCTCACGTCCTTCCCATGAGACCAAGGGGACGCGTTCTGATCTTTCCTCTTTGGATTATTCTTGGTGAGGATTTGGGGGATCCGCCCTGTGTGCAGGTCCGATAGAGAAGGAAAAGAATAACAAGGGGGACGGTCCAGTCTCGCACAGGGCTATGGACAGTACGGAGTACTTTGTACAATGGTACATGGAAGGGGCTCTCTCCTGAACCTCTCATCAGCTATTTCACGGATACGTTGTTGGTCTGTCCTGTGATATCTCACCTATAAGAGCGTAAGGGCAAGAACGACTAATGAATTCCCCGTTGCGTATTCACAGTCTCCAGGCGTATGACATGAGTGCTCTATAGACCAAGCCAGACAGAATGCTAGAGATCTAGCTAGAGAAAGGCAGGCAACGAGCAAATACGCTGAAATGTTACTCAAGGCACGGATGGATAGGAGAGGAAAGTATTCGTACATAGAACCGCACTTGCAGGAGCAACTAAAATGGACCAGTCAGATACGATGGCGTTGGACCGGGGCACCCAGTCTGCCGCAGGAAAACACAGGGTACATGGGATCAAGGGTAGGGGACCTGCCTAGGATCAAGGCCCTGGTGAATTGTGCATTTACAAGCAAAGCACATGTATCTTTGCGCGCATAAAAGGGTGATACAGGTACTTTCGTGAGTACTGCGTATGGTCTCCGGGAAAGTGGAACTCCATCGTCGCCTGGCTCCAGCAGACCAATGCAGCACCATGGTCCATCGGTACGATACCAAAAACCTTCCCATTTGGCAATCTCCATTTCGACCCTTACGAAGTACCTTCCTGTGTACGCCTTCCCTTCCCACCCCGAGCCGCCATTTGCCTGAGAGAAACCTCCTTCTCCTCCTCTCCTCCTGGGAATTCCCTCTCACCACACCCGACTTGCTCTCTCTGTATCCCCTCAAAAAAACATCCCATCTCTTCTCTTCCCTTTCTTTCCCCCTTCTTCCTTCTATTCTTCCCCCCCTCCGCCGCCTCTCTGCCCCCAATTCCACCGTCTTTCCCCTAAATCCCAACCCACATCACCAACGTACCCCCTTTTCTCTCGCCAAAAACAATTTACGGAACTTCCAAGAGGTTGCCTGATTCTCAGGGTCCCCTTCCCGACTTGGATCCATCTTCTCTTCCCCCGTCTACTCGTTGCCCCCCCGAATCGCACTTTGCATCGTCCATTACTGCCGCCCTCTCTCCTTTCTACGTGTCGCCCATTCGTGCTTCCAAGAGCAAGGAGGAAAAGAAAGCAACCGAAAAAAAATACACAAGCACAAACCGCACCCTCTACACGCCTAACGACTGCAACTTCTTCTTTTTGTGACCCGAAATCTCGAAACATCCTCCATCTCAAACCCCGAATACAAGACGAGCTTCAGGTTTGCGTGGCTGACTCGTCACCACCTCGTCCTGTTCCCGAAGATTGCCTCGCTACAACTCCGAGCCGATACGAGTGCTTTACATCTCCATGTTCTCCGTCGACTGCTAGCTTTGAATCGAGTTGTCTCGGTGACACTTGATCTTGCCTCCCTTTGGTCGATTCCTCCATCGCCCGTAACGAGTGCTCTCCAACATTCTCTTCGCGGTAGAAGCGAAGCATCAACCATCCTTCTTTATTCTCAATACGACGAGACTCTCGCTGTAACCCCTGGCCGCAGGCGACCTTCGTTTCCACAATCGCTATCTGATTCCAACCACAACTTCCGTTCTGTCGGGAAAGAAGTCGGTCGTTTGACAGAATAACCATCATTCCATTTCCTGCCTTCGTATAAAAGAGAAAAAAAGGTTCGTTAAATCTGTATTTCTACTCTGATGGTTGCTCGCGGCCGTTTTCTTGTCGTGTCGTATGTTGGACAGTAGTGAGCCGTCCGCTGGCGCTGCTGAGGGCGTATTGCTGACGCCAAACTCGAATGGAAAGAGCCTTGCTAATTTGTCTGCCTCGTTCAGTATTCAGCACATCTGCCCAGCAAATTGCTCGCCTTGATTATTATCCGAGTTCGCCCTTCCTTGCAGTACGACAACCAAGCCGTACTTTGATTCCGAGCAACTTGCCCGACTATAAGGACCGGCGAAGGACTGCTTGTTCGCTACTTTCTGTTCTCGACGGCTGCTTGGAACATGGCCGCGCTGGTTCAAACGTACCCCCAGCAGACCACCACTGTTACCACTCTCCAGTCGAGACCCTCAGGCAACATGGTCCCGACACAAGCCCAGGCGAACCAGCAATACATGGCTGCTCAACAGTCGCAGAGGAACTTTTCGGGTTCTGCCGTGTATCGCGGCAGCAACGCCCCAATCCAGCCCTACGCTTTCACCAGCACCCCGAGCTTGAATACCAACAATCAGTGGCAACAGTATGGCAACGGATATCGCACGGCATCTTCACCTGCGGTACCAACGCAAGGCACGCGTCACGTTGGAAGCTCTTCAGTATCCAACGTTGGCTACAATCACGGCATGGGAACTAGCAAAGGAGGTTCGAGGGACGATTCGGGCATTCCTGCTGCTCGCACAAATTCACAGGCCCCGAGGCCCCAGTCAGCGTATTTGGCAGGCAACACGACACAGCAAATGACATTCGCTCAGACCGCTGGGACTAAGACGACGCCTGATAGGTACCGGCGCCCGGCTCTCCAGCAACAACAACAAACTCGCCAAACTAGCGCCCCGTCAGGCTCAGGCATGGCGACTGTTAGTCATTTGTACAATGATGAGCAAAAGAGCACGTCAGTGCGAGGTCGAAACCCGTCTTTCCAGAGCAGACCAAACAGTTATTATGGTGCGGTTGACGACATGCAATTAAGTCAACAACAAAGTGCGGAAGACGGCAAGCGACTCAGGCGGCGCAGCATGCACTCGCTTGATTCTGCCGATTATCCCAAGCCGCTAACCCCACAGGAATTCTCTCACCCGGAAGATTCCTCCCGTTCCGACCGCGTGCCAACTCCCAAAAACAGCGACAAGACACTTCGCATCGTCTCCAGTCTTGCACCTCCCGCCGACAACAACATGCATGTCCGCAATGGCAGCGCTGAAAGTCTTGCGTCGAGCCGCAGCAGCCATTCCAGACCATCTTCGGTAAGTTGTCACTCCCGGTTTTTGCGGTGTCGCTGGAGGCGCTCTGTCTCCGCCTCATCCCTTCATTCGATTGCCCAATCACGCACTGGCCCAGCCATCCTCAAAGTGTTCCATCGCTAACAAGGTTATTTCCACCAGTCTGCCAACCGCAGCGTACCCACCCCCACGGGCAACCCCTCTTCCTCTTCAACTCCTTCACACTTGGATGATGGCTTAACGAAGCAAGATTATCCCAAACTCGTGAATATTCCTCCACGAAGCTCATCGTCAGATGCGGCCAAGAGGCAGTCTACTCCCTCTCCTCTCTCCAAGCCGGTGACCATGGCGACCGACTCGAGTCCCCAAAAACCACCTTCCTCTCTGGGCAATGCTCCGCAACATGTCTTGTCTCAGAGCACGACTGCGTCCAACAGCAACAACGCTAGCAGCCCCGCAGCCCAACATTTGGCTGCGATTAATCAGAAAAGTACAAAATCCAAGAGCAAGACATCGCGATTGCGCAGAGCCTTTTCATTCGGTAGCGCGGCCGACTTCAAAAAGGCCGCCGGTCCCGAACCTACTATCGACGAAAATAGTGTATCCGATGCGACCAGATTGCACAAGGAGCCGACAGCGGCCGAAATCTACGATGCAGAACAGGCCGCCATCGCGAAGAAGCAGGAGGAAGGGGGCATCGGGAACAACATCTATGGCGGAAGGCTATTTTCCAGCTCGACGGATAACCTCTCCATTTCGTCCACCGCATCGTCTGCTTCAATCATGATCCGTAAGATGGGTCGTGGCATGAAGAAGAGCACTCGTAACCTCGTCGGTCTCTTCCGGCCAAAATCTGTCATTGGCGTCCCGGCAGCAGATGCGCTGGCCCCAGAAGCCAGCCAGGCTGCCGTGTCGATGGTCACGGTTGAAGCCGAGAGAGTCAACGTCAACGCTGATCCTCATGCACAGAACGGTGGTGGCACTGGCTTTCCTCATCTGGAACGTAACTCGTTGGATATTTCGAATACCCCTAGCATGGTTTCGGAACGTGCTGGAAGTTCAGGTGCCGATAGCGCAAGACGAAAGAGCATCGTCGATGGTGATAAGGAGCGTGCCGAAGCCCTTGCCGCTGTCAGGAAAGGCATCTTGAAGCACAACCGATCAGGCAGCCCTGCTCGCGACCCGCGCTCCAACTTTGAGTTGCCCGCGATCCCGAATGTCGCCGATTCTCCCATCTCAACCGCACCCAGCACGCCAAATGACGAGGCTCAGGGCCACAAGCGTTCGGGTTCCGTCGCCATCGGCAACGAAGACTACTTCATGACTGCCTTGAGGCTTCGCCAGGACACCAAGAGTGCCCCGGGAACGCCCTCGGGTTCCGCCAAGAGAAACGCAACTTTCTCGCCGAGGATTGTCTTCCACGACACTTGGCCCAGCGGCGAGTATGACCGCAGGGGCGAAATTGCTACTTGCAATCGCCTGACGCCGATGCTAGCCCAGCAGATCAAGGAGGAGCTCAACACATTCAAGATGGTACGTACTGATCTTGGGCACATTAGATGGATTCATTGCTAACTGTTAACAGGAAATGGAAGTTCACGAAAACTCCAAGATTTACACGCACTTCTTCTAACGACGGCTACGCCTACAAAACGGAATCTTCCCCCTTTTGCTTCTTGATGATGGGCAGCAACCCATTGATCATGTATTTGAACTACATTTACCATTCGACGGCGTTCAGGAACAGCATCGTACGGTGTCGGGGCGTTTACGATCGTCACTCGACAGCATTTTTCTTGTCTGACTGAGAAGCCTTGCCCGGCCGCCCTTTGTCGATTAATTCTTTTTTTTACTATTGTCACAATGGGCGGGAGGTATACGAAGACGGCGGCCGGACGGGACAGCCTTGCAGTAGGCCAGTCAGTGCAGACTACAGGCCGATGGTCTGTTTGCATTTGAGCAGCAATCACACGGACCCCGAGGACATGATGGCGATAATAGCGGTGACCTCTTACACTTTATCAGATGGGCCCAAGTCCTCTGACGAACCGGATGCGGATTTCTGAAAAGATGGCATCACACACAAACTCACACACACACTTGGCACTCGGTCGAGGTTTAGTGTTTCGATATTTGTTTTGTAAGGGCTTAAAGGACTTTTCGTTACATGTCGGTTCTCTTCGAGTTACGTCGCCTTCAAAGTTCGTCGGGTCATTAGGAGGCAGAATAGAGTGTGGCTTTTTTTTTCTTCCAAAAGAACAGCTAGTCTCAGCGAGGTCTCGATGCTGGTATCGACCGCTCCAGCGAATTGAATAGTTTAGAGCGGACTAGAACGCGCGTGGTGAAAAGTTTGCATGTGAAGAGCCCTGGCCTTACGCAAGCAATCCTTTGTTGGGTTGCGTGTGTCACGAATGGTCTGACACATCGTCTCAGTGCTAGAAGCAGATGAGCCCAGTCGGGTCTTGAGAAACTGCAGTGTCGGATACCTTAGGGTACTTTGTCTCCGCAGAACGTTTCTCCTTGATCGGCGGGACGACGTCATTTGCTGTAGGTGACAGTTCCCCTTCTCTCGCAGCGCCTAAGGTTCCATGCGATGCGTGGGGGAAAGACTGGGTCTATGACCCCACCCAATCAGGGAGAGTTTCCCATTTGGGGTCCTCAGCCTCGCACTCTGTTAGTGTGTAAGGCTAAATCAAAAATTTCTGCCATCACAAGCTCCCTTGGTTAGGGAGTCACAGCAGACGTCAAAACGGAATTCAGTCAAACGTGCTATGCCAAGCTTCGGTCGCTTAATAATTTGAATTTTATGTCAAGCGACAGTCGAGATCCTGGAGGGGGTTTTCAGGCTCTGGAGGCTCCGGACGTCTCAGACAATCCGGTTCGCCCGATTCTTCACCTTGACGAGAAGAATGGCGACAACGACAGAGGCCCCGACCGCGGGGTTTGAGGCTGGCGCATCAGCAGCGCCCACGACCAGACCGAAGCTGCACGGCCGGGCATTCTATGAGAGTATTGGAAGTCCAAAGTACATCCTCGCACCTATGGTGGATCAATCTGAATTTGTAGGTTTTTGTTTTCCCCTTTCCTCAAAGCTCTTGAGGTAAATAGGCGTTGTCTGGGAGCTGGATTGCTAACCGCGCCTGACCGGCTTCTGTAGGCATGGCGAATGCTGAGTCGGTCGTTCATCCCGGCGTCCGAGCAGAAGAATTTGGTGGCCTACACGCCCATGTTCCATGCGCGACTGTACAAGGACACGGAAAACTACCGCCAGTGCCATTTCCAGGCGGTTAGACCTGAGGACTCGAACAATGCGACTGCGATCGCGACCGCCACGAAACCGACTGCGACGACCAAGCCCTGGCTCGACGGCAACCCCGCCATCGACAGACCTCTCTTTGTGCAATTCTGCGCAAACGACCCGGACGCCCTCCTCGGCGCAGCGCTCAAGGTCGCCCCCTACTGCGATGCCGTGGACCTGAACCTGGGCTGCCCGCAAGGCATCGCCAAGAAGGGAAAATACGGCGCCTTCTTGCAGGAGGACCAGGACCTCATCTTCAGGCTCATCAACACCCTGCACAAGAACCTGCCCATCCCCGTGACGGCGAAAATCCGCATCCTCGATACGAGGGCGGCGACGCTGGCGTATGCGCGCAACGTGCTCGCGGCGGGTGCGTCGATTCTTACGGTTCACGGCCGGCTGAGAGAGCAAAAGGGGCATTTGACGGGGTTGGCGGATTGGGAGACGATTCGGTGGCTCAGGGGCCAGCTGCCGGCTGAGACTGTGCTTTTTGCGAATGGCAATATTCTACAGCATGAAGATTTGCAACGCGCGTTGGATGCTACTGGCGCGGATGGTGTTATGAGCGCCGAGGGGAACTTAAGTGACCCGGCCATCTTCAGCCGGCCGCCGGAAGCCGGTGCCGAGACGAGGGAGTACTGGCGCGGCAAGGACGGGAAGGGCGGGTACCGCGTCGATGCGGTGATGAGGCGATACATGGATATCCTGCACAAGTACGCCGCGGGCCAAGACCCGCCCTCGCGGCGTCCGCTGTTTGTCGTGGGTGATGACACAGCGTGGATGGAGGAGATGGACAAGGCGGAGGCGGAGCAGGACGAGCCGGAGCGGAAGAAGAGGAGGCGGGACGTGACAAACGGGCCTAAATCCGCCAAGAGCCGGGCGCTGAGCGCGAATTACTCGGCGATGCAGCCGCACATGTTTCACCTGCTGCGGCACTTTGTGTCGAAGCATACCGACGTGCGGGACCTGTTAGCGAAGAGCCGGGCCGGGGATTTGGAGGCGTATGAGAGGATTTTGGGTATGGTGGAGCGCAAGGTTGCGGAGGGGTTGATTGAGTATGAGGCAAGGGGCGCGGAGATGTTTGCGGGTGATGAGGGTCTTGGACCCGAGGCGGATGCCGTAGAAGCGGAGGAGGAGGACGGGGAGAGTTCGAGGGGTGCGGTGAGGAGGTGTAAGAGGCCTTGGTGGGTTGTACAGCCTATCATTCGGCCTTTGCCCAAGGAGGCTATGGCGAAGGGGGCGGTGTCGTTGAGTAAGAAGGATAAGGCCAAGTTGAAGGCTGCTGGGGGTGGGGAGGTGAAGGAGGAGAGTAAGGAGGTGGAAGTGAAGAAGCATGGGGAGAAGGAGGATCAGAGTGTTCAGGAAAAGGTTCTTGAGACTGATGATAAGTTGATTGCTGGTTGAGGGACGGCGAATTGGTGAAGTGCAATTAAATAAATAGATGATTAAAATAATATACCCCTCTCTTTGAGAATGACATACTCGTTGGGATGGAACTCTTGTTCTGCCAAATTCTTGGACTCAAGACCACATCACGATGCGTTCTATGAAGAACTTGCCCCTGTCACTCCCGTAACCCGCAGGTGGAAGATGCTGCTGTGCATGACTTGATATAGAGGTCGACATCTTGTGTCCGCTTGGGCCAGAACACTCGTCCTCGGAGCTAGTGCGTCGTAATCAGCGCGCCAAAGTGTCCTCGTTTGTCGTGTGCTTCGTGCAAGCTCTGGGCTACGGGTGTCTCGCTGATGCATCTCGCTAGACTTAGATCTGTCTCGGATCTCTGGAGTTCGTGGTCGTGAATACGGTAGCGTGCTGTCTTTGCCCTCACCAAACGTTTGTTTATCGAGAGATGCTAGATTGAAGGGCTTCCGCTACCTCCTTCAAATGCGCTGCTTTATGGCCCTTCAGAGTGCGGATAACCCAGGCCATCTTCGGTTGTAGTTTTGTGCCCAGCACATAGCGTCAACGGGTATCCGTGGCCGCGAACACTTGAAAGTAGGAGTTTTGCGCCAACTTACGTGAGGCGTTCAAGAGCTCCTAGCTCATCAAAAGCGTAAAGCGAACACCCGCTGCCCGTACATCTACCTTACTGCACCTGCACACATACTATACGGTGTAAATCCTAGAAGGTGGTCTTCGGGGGCGTAGACGATGCTAAATATTGATTATGCGTGACCTTTGAATGCCTGCATATGAGAGCTGGGAGGGTTCCCGAGTCGTGGTGCTTATTTAGTCGCGCGCTGTGCATTCACGGAGGGGAAGAGACCTTTATCCAGTCTACTAAGTGCTGTGAGAATGTTAATAGACTACTCTATGGCAACGAACGTCTCCCGATCAAGGTCATTGGAGAAATTCAAAAGCTTTCGCTCCTTCTATTTCAATTTAACTACCTACGCCTAGCCACGGATCCGCGCTCCGCTTTCAATGACTTGGCCACGTCGTGGGTGGGAGTGTCGGTCAGTGAGCCTGTAAAGAGCTTTGAGCTGCGGAGTGCCTGACTGAACGATGGCTTTGTAGGTCAGTGATGGACTATCAGTTATGGGCGTCAGTTTCCTCCTTCTCTTCCTGGCGGTTGGCTATTCAGTTGGTATACAGCTCCACCGATTTCGAGAACTCACCTCGAGATCTCACAATAATGTTGTGTGTACATGCGACTTTCAGCCGCCAGGTAATGATATCGTCTGCTATCTACAGTATTTACATTGGATCGAGAAAAGGTGAAATGATTCGGATGCAACGACTTACACCCGTCAACATTCATTGAAGTACCAACTCAAGCTATTGTCGAAATGTCTACGTCCCCTATGATGTAAGCGTCTTTCTTTTGTAACGACACTATACAAATATAGCTCGAAGTCCCCGAATGCTACCGTGATAACAGTAGCCTTGTGAAGCCGCACAGGAGTCGTAACCATGCAATGTGGTCCCCACACTCGGAGGCAATGCAGTGCCACTCGTGTCTGACCAGCAGGCAGCGTACAGCCATGTACCCCATGAGGTTCACCGCCGTAACCATGAAGAATTTCAATCTGCCCATGATAGATCAGCGGTGTGGCGTAGACTTTGTTTGTGATTAGAGGTTACTCAGTTACTCCCGTGGGTTGCGCTTGAACGATGCTACGGTCAGGCTACTTGCAGGAATTCAGTTCGCTCTACAACCCTTCCCGCCTTCCACTGGAAAAAGATGTCGCCCTTCTAGAGTTGCACATGGAGGGAAAATACGAGGTTCAATTCCATTTGTTATTCGTTGTCAGCTGTACCTGCACCTCCGCGTCAAACAGGCAGACTCAAAAGCTCCAAGAAACCCGTACAAGCCTCACTTACTGTAGCGAGGCATAAAGGTCTTGATTCTTCCCAGTTGATTCCATTTCTTTTCGATTCGTGGAAGCTATCGATCAGCTCCTCTTGTCATTCTTCTCCCACTATGTCGGGTCAAAAGGCAGCGGTGCTCCAGCCGAATAGTCAACGATATTCTCACCAGCAAGAGCCAACAAGCTCAAGTCTGGATGGTGTTGTTGAAGCTCTCCAGGGCCAATCATCCGGTCCCGATGGTTCTAGCCAAGACAATTCGGCGCAAACGTGCCATCTCTACCAGGAAAACGTCTTGTCACCGTCTTCTACTACGCCCTCCGATATGCAGCCTAAACAACATACCGACAACTCTCTTTCAACGGCAGGTGGTTATGGATCTCCGAGAGAGCCAATAGATGGGAACATGCCAGTTCGACTCACAGTCCAAGAACTTGCGATTGACGACGCCTCCATTTTCAGCCAGGGGCAACCCATATCTACGGACAAATCGCGGGCCAGAAGCGAAGACTCAAGGAGTGAGTCTCAGCCCTCTACGGCACCGAGAGTGCATGCCCCATTCTGGCAAGTCTGGTGGAAAGAGATGTTTTGCATCATTACCAGCATTGCTTCATTAATCGGTAAGCAAACGTGCGGCTGGACACAAGATATCCAGAATTCACCCGGGAAGGTCATTGACTTCTCATGATTTTTTTTAGCTATCGTCGTCGTTCTCGCTCTTTTTGATAATCATTCGCTGCCAAGTTGGCCTCATAAGATCACGCTCAACACATTTCTCGCCCTTTTCACAACGCTGGCAAAAGGAAGCTTCATGTTACCAGTGTCAATTGCCTTGAGTCAGTCCAAGTTCACCTGGTTCTTGAAACCAAAACCCTTAAACGACTTTTACGTTCTCGATCAGGCAAGTAGAGGCTGGTTAGGTTCTATGAAGTTGCTCTTCCGGGTGCGTTTCAAGCACACAGTCGCTATCGGTGCTATCTTGATGGTTGTCAGCATTCTTTCCTCCCCAGTTACTCAGTTGGCCATCAGTTATCCTCTGCGAAATGATACCGCCCCCAGGGAGGAAGCCACGGTACTCACCATCAACGAAATCAACTTGGAAGACTTCAGTTTGGTTAATATGGTGAACATGGCGACGCTCATGGCTTCGGTGACGAATACTGGGAATTATGAAGGACGATTGCCTCCACAGAAAGCCTCGTGCTCTACAGGAAACTGCAATTTCAATCCCTATCAATCACTAGGTGTTTGTGTGGAGTCTGTTAACATCACTTCGGAGCTTCGGATTCAGGCGATCAGTAACTTGACTTCTGATTTAACGGAGAGAGGCCGAAAGACACTGACTCCTGGTCAAAGTGCATGGGACGTTGGCCTCTCAAGCAAATATGGCTTTATACATCAGAGTGAACTAGCGATCGTCCTTGGTCAATTGGACGGGACCGATACCTTCGGCTTCCTAAACAACACAAGCCTTCTTAACACCAAAATCGCCTCATTCTTTCTCATATACACCACGCCGCTACCGCCTAACGAGACTCACGTGGTAGCGGATGATTCAGATGATTTTCAAAATATGCTCTACTCGATTAGAGACTTCGACTACGAGGCACGCGAAATCATGTTCCATTTATGCGTTCAGACATTTGAAACAAAAGTTCGCACGGCTGTGGAAGAGACCTACATAACCGACCCTCTATCGCGAATAGATGACCCAAGAAAAGGATTCATCTTAGGGCCCAAGTGTACAATGGAGCAGTCACTCCTGCTGTGTAAGCCGGAACAAGACCCGGGCGACTTAGTTGCATATATCACACCACCGAATTCGAGACCAACGAAATTTAGCGCCTCGTATGCGACCATGTTCAATATCGGAGTGGGTATCTCCTATACACTGCTATCATCAGCAGGATTGAGCATTGTTCCCAACGGCCGTCTTTGGGTTGGTGAATTTGTCTGGACCTGGTTCAATGATGTGCTCTACACTGAGCAGAATATATTCAACTCCACGCGGCGAGAGACTCACCTTGACAATTTCTTTCTCGGCATTGCTAGCAGTATTACATCTGAGTAAGGTTCTTTCCTATCTTTGTACCACTTCTCTGACTAACTTTGACAGCTTACGAACCACCCATCATCAATTCAATAGACCGGGTGCTGTCGTCATCGAGGGAACTCCTTTGAAAGAGATTGCGTACGTCCATATAAGCTGGGGGTGGATTTCTTTCCTCGCTATCGAGATTGTAGCAGCAGTACTATTTCTTGTTATCGTCATTACTGCCCAGGGCGCGGTATCTCGAGAAAGAGGACCAGAAAGTGTGTACGTTCCGGCCGACGCAAAGGACTCGGCTCTGGCAACTCTTGTCGTCCTCAGTAATGACTGCCGCGAAGCCTTGAGCGACGGCCTGCAGCCTGCAGGTGTTCTCCAGAAGACTTCAAAGATGCTGCAAGTCACGCTACGAGGGAACGAATTTGAGCTTGCCAGCGACACTGAAGTACAATCTTCTCAATCAGGCAAGGATAGCCTCCGAGAGGTGCTCACGGAAGAAAACGGCCTTCCTCAGACGGGTTTTCTTAGTCGTATTTTCCCGAGCATACGAGGTTGGCAGGGAAAGCACGAAGTATCGAGATAGAGCGGAGAGGGAAAGGACGGGGAGAGAGAGAAAAGGATGAGAGAAGCAAAGCACAAGTGTTAGCTAGAGGCAGCGGGGTGGGGATTGGTTTCGATGGACTATCCAACTCAAAGTCCATAGCATCATGGTCAAGTGCGAGACTTCTTTGGGTTTGGAGGATGGTCTTACACGCAGGAACAGCAACGCTGAGATGATCTTTGAGTTGAGCTGCTTTCGCTTTGTATCACTGATTAGCTTTGCCGAACAATATCAATTGGGTATTTGCAATCATCTATGCATGCACCTTACACCCGCCGTTTCGCCTGTTGCCCGTTTCTAATGCCCCGGTCCCTGATGCCCCTTGGTATGCAATGCGCCGTAATTTCAAACCAATCTCGTACTCGACTTTCTTCAATGTCACCGCAGTTTTCTCGGTGATCTTCGCAGACCCAGCTCCTGCACCTCTTCTCTGGAAAGGATGATGCTCTCCTCTCTATCTTCTTCGATGTCTCCCATCAACTGTGACTCGTCTATCCAGCCGGCTTCAACCGCGAACCTCACAACCTCGGCAGAAGTCCCGAATGCTGGCGTTCCAGCCTTGGCATCGGGATCGAGATATTTCCACAGCTCTTTTGTGACCTTTTTGAATGCTGCCAGGTCCTTTTTGTCGCCCTGGAAACCCTTGATCATGTACTGGTAGAGGTATGCCAGCCACAACACGTTGGTATACGGCACAAAAACGTCCCACGAAAGAGGTTCACCATCTACCCCCTTGCAATAAGGTGATTTGTGGGCGGACGGTGGCAGATGCCCACGCTCGCCGCGTATAAGAAACGATCGCATTTGGCGGTAGACCTTGCATTGTGCAGCGTGAGTGCTGGTGAAGATGCTGAGATCCTTCTCGAGGTCGAGCGCAATAGGCTCAGATTCCTCCAATTCGAGATCCTCGGCGCGAGAGAGACCATAGTCAAGAATCGTAATATCAAGGCCAGAGTAGCCAAAGTACGGCCCTGCTCTCGTCGGATTCCGCGTTTGTGGGTCTTCTGATCTCCGTATGCAAAGGTTGCCCTCGTGCAGATCGCGGTGCTGATCTTGTTAACTCACGCCGTCCCGCCAGTCGCTTCAATGGCGTGCCAACATACCTCAAAGCAAGCTAAGTCTTCCGCCCTAGCCAGTGCAATGGCTACATGGAAGAAGATATCCCACAGCTGACCGGAGTCCGTAAGCTCGAAGTCCTCGAGTGCGGTTCCTGCATCACCAAGCTCCACCACCAGGAAAGTGGTGTCATCAAGATAGCGACTCGGGCTCGGGTAATACTGCAGCCTGTCCGGGTCCTTGCGCTTCATCTTTCGATGAAAGCCTTGATGTGTTTCAAGCAAGCACTTTGGGGCCTTTCCTTTCACAAGGTAGCGCTCCTTGTAAATGACGAAACCAGCGAGCCACTCGGATATGCTGAGTTCACCACGCATATCGTCTTCTGAGTGCGGCTCTTCGTCAACGAGTCCAGAGCGCTCCTGGGCCTTGGTTTGCGCCTTGATGGGCGACTCGAGGCGGATGCATTTGATGATGCTCGTACCACGCTCATTTCGTACGCGGTATACTTCTGCGTAAGAAGCCTCGGCAATCTTCTCGATTGTGTCTCCGGGTGGGCAAACATCCTCCCAGGTAAGAATGCGATAGTCGGGCTGAGGCTCTACTGGTACTTCGGTGGCTTTGGTCTTGGGCGTTTCGGCCTTTGATACGGGTGTAGGAAGTGACCCTTGGGCTATCCTTCTCGTGGTTTTCGCGGTCCTTGGGGTTTGTTTCACCGCTCGTGGTGGAGTTTCTGGTTTTTGTGGTGTTGGCGGAGATGCTACAACAACTTCGCTGAAGTCTTTTGATAGCTCATCTTCCGAGGAGTAGGAAGGATCCAAGTTAATCCCAAGGGCGTCCAATTCCTCCGTAATTTTGATGATGGAGTCATCCTCGGGGTCTACCGTGACTGTCGCATTGGGTTTCCGAACCGGGGTTTGTGGAAGTTCAGCAAACAGTCGCCTTGCCTTTGCCTTTGTTGAGGTCTTGCCGTAAGTACGAGTTGCAGTTGTTCGCACCATTTCGTCTTCTTCTTTGAGAGTCCATACAGGGTTGATCTGTTGAGTTGAGTACTATCGCTTTTGACGCTTTATTCCATGATGTCGCCATGACTGACGTTGGGATCTATTGACATTCCCTTCGCGTCGTCCAGACAACCAGAGCTTGCCCGGAAGATGCGTTATCCCGCAGCCGCTAAAGGTCCTCCCGGGCCGAGCACGAGACACTGAGACCCACTGGCCTGGGTTCTACGACGGTCGACCGTAGTCAGATGAAAAGGTGGAGAAACGTCACTGCGCCCCAGCTTCCAGAAAAGCGACGTGACTGGCTGACGACAGGTTGACGACTGGCCTAATTTCGCCTTCTGGTTGGCGATACCTCCTCACAAGCTCGCAGCTTCACTGTCTGCAGTCTTGGATCTCGACACCACCGCAGCCAGCCAGCCATCCCTCCCCCGACCGTAACCATGGCCGCCATCCTCAACGGTCTCTTCGGAGGCTCCAAGCCTTCCGCATCCCCAATTCCTAGCGGTGATTCTGGTATGCTACTCTCGATACTCAATTCCCCTGCCCCCTAAACCAACCCCCGTGCTGTCAAAGCTTCCAGTTTCCCCTCAGCACCCACAAAATCCACAACCTCATTAGACTGACGCAATCATCTCTCGCATATAGACTTTGCAGACTTCGCCGGTGCTGCTGACCCGTCACCCGTTCCCAGCGCCTTCACGGCTGCCCCTGGCAGCACGACTCTCGGCGGCGCGCCCGAGGCCACGGGACGTCCCTTCACGAAGTGGTACAACATCCACGAGCGCCACTCCCTTAACGAGTTCAAGCTCGAGGGCGCCATCCTGGCCGTCAGCGCCGTCATCTTCCTCCTGCACATCATTGGCTCGCGCCTCAACCGCAAGAAGGCCAAGTCCTGGGCCACGGCCCACGCGCCGGTGCTTAAGTCCGAGTTCGCCTCCGTCGGCTTCTCCCCGCGTTCCACGACCGACACCGACCCCAAGGACCCTACGGGCCTGCTGCGCGAGAAGTCTCTCTTCGAATTTGCCAGCTACGGAACCGGTCGCCAGAATGTCGCCTTCATGGACGTCAAGTTGACGCTGACCAAGCGCTTCAACCCGTTCCTCAGCATCATCGAGGCCGTCACCAGCTTCTTCATGGATACCGTCGAGGCGCCCCACGACTCTGTCGAGGCTGTCATCTACCCCTTTGACGGAAAGGAGAGCCTCACTGTCCCTGCGATTCCCGGCACCCACGAGCTGCGCAGCAAGGAGAACAAGAGCACGTATGATAACTTTGTCTGGGCCATCGTTTCCAAGGAGCGCATGAAGCAGGTTCGCGACGATCGCTACGATGTCTCCATCACCTTCACCAAGGACAATGGCAAGCTTCCCAACTGGGTTACCGTCATGAGCGAGAGCGCCGAGATCACCGAGCAGCTGTTGACCCCTGAGCTCATCAAGGCCGTTGAGGCTGCCGGCGACGCGTTTGATTACCTCATCGTCTCTGACCAGCCTATTGAGCGCCCCAGCACGTGAGTTTCAACTGCAACTTGTCTTTTATGTACAAAACTAACAGTGTAATAGCATCGAGGAGACCACACCCCGCAAGCGCGTCTTCCTCCGCTACCGCATCCCCTCGAGCAACAACTACGAATCCCTGTTGCCCCTGTTCGAATACTTTGTCCGCATCCCCGACGCCCTCGTCTCTGGCGCGCACTTCCGCCCCGAGGTCCTGCGCAAGGTCCGCAGCGTGCGCGAGGAGACTGTCGCCCAGCTCAAGAAGGCTGCCGAGGCTGAGAAGGCTGAGGAGCGCACCCTCGAGCGCGAGAAGCAGAAGAAAGCCAAGCGCGACGCCGAGCTCAGCGCCCTGGACGCCAAGGCTCAGAAGAAGTACCTCGAGAGGGAGCGTGAGCGCGACCTCAAGAAGAGCATGAAGAAGCAGACCATGCGCGGTTAAAGCAGTGTTTGAATGCTTCCCCTAGTGGAGGCTCTTGAAAAGTTGCTAGTTACCCTTCATCAATGTTTTTTAAAAAAATCTGGAGGAAAATAGGCCTAGGGCGGTCTAGGGGTCCAAGGAAGGGATCGGCGGTGTCAATATTACAATCTACGAAGGCTGAGATGTATACATGTACCATCATGAAAGGAGGCGGCGGCGGCGGCGGCTACGGGGGAATTCAAATAGTATATCTTGTGTCAAATCATAACCTAATAAGCTGTCAACTTTTCTGTCTTGTGTAATTTCCGCGAACCCGTCTTGCATACCACAACTTGGCTTCAAACAACCACACCGTTTACTGGTCTTGAGCCAGGATGCCTTCCACACGTGCCACCTTGTCGGCGGCAGACTGCTTCTTATCCGTTCTGCAAAAAAAAAAAAAGAAATAAACATCATCAGCCACTCAAACATTGTCCACGCAAACACAACTTGCTGCTTTGCTTCGTTGTGATGGGAAGATTCATTTTAGATAGACAAACCTCGAGCCGACGCGCATCGAAGACTGGATCCGCACGACGCCGCTCTGGTGGACGAGAGAGTGCGCCTGTCCGATGACGCGGAAGACGTCGTCCCAGCTTCCCTCTGGGATGTTGTCAGTTCTTTCTGCAAGGTGGTAGGTAGCCATGAGATGAAGAGGGAAAGAGAAGACTGTGGGTAGGCAAGGTAAGGGATGAGCCAGAAGAGAGACGTACCGACGGTGGTCCCGGCCGAGTGCATGGTATACTTGAGCCCGCTCGCTTTCAGCAGGCGCTGGACCTGCGCGACCTCGTTGGCGACGGAGACGCTGCCGGTGCCGACGGGGATGAGGCAGAAGTCTGCGTAGGCGGCTTCGGGGGTGGGGATGTTGGAGTAGTCTTCGGTGGACATTTTTGCTCGTGTTTATGTTGTGTAGGGAGAACGTATGTGGTGGGTGTGAGTGCGTGTGTGCGTATGTGAGTGAGTGAAGGTTTGGTGATGCCGGGTTCGAGTGAGTGAGTGGTAGGTAGGTATGTGGTGGGGTTGGATTTGCGCCACTTTGGGTTTAGGTACTGAAGTCTACGGGGTGGTGGCGTGTTGAGTGTTGTAGCTATGAGGTTGGTTCCTGAGGGTATGCGAGGGCTTGGCTTCACGCAAAGTCTGCTGAGGTTGAGAAATGGAATACGCTACTTTAAGTACTCTGAAGGAGGATCTTGAGGGAGAAATTAATAGAAATACAAGGTAAGTTAATATGTCGTTGACTTTGAGATGCCGTCGCTGTGCAGAGTACCTTTCCCAACGATGCAATGAGGGGTGGAGGTGGTCCGTTCCTAACCCGTAGAGGAGGGGTGCTTGCTACCTTCCTATTGAGTTTTGTCTTATCCTCACTTCTTAACTCAATTAATTCAACTTCACTCATTAAGAAAGGACATTTGGAGTTTGTTTCATCAAGCTGATTTTTCATATATGAGCATGATGTCACTCAATGCCCGGTATCTATCTACTTCTTTGATCCAATCCTGATCAACTGCCCCTAAAACCCCGAAAGGGCTCTCTTCCAAACAAAACTCGCGGGGGTCCCGTTTTCCCCGGGTCATACATGAACAAAGCTGTGGAAAAAAAAAAAAAAAGCAAGAAAAGAGTCGTTTCTGCCGATGATTTCGGCTCATAATAGAACGCCGTCGCTATGCATCTTTTTGTTGGAAAAAAAGAAGAAAAAAAGAAAACAAGAGGGGGAATCTTAGTGTTCATCCGAGATATGTCCCTTTGAGCGGACACACACAGACACTCTGTTCATGAGGTTGTCGCATGAAAAGTGTCACATCCCCTTTGGCTCGGACCCTGACAATCAGAGACAGAGACGACCCCTTAAAACAAGAACACGGCGGCGGCGAGGAACGCGACGAGCGCGCCAGTCTCCATACCGCCGGGCGCTCTGCCGGCAGACTTGCCGCTGCTTGAGCTCGCGGTGGCGCTGTTACTGCTGCTGCGGCCCGAGATGTCGGACGAAGAGAGGCCGTTGAGATTATCGGCGGCGTCAATGGCAGGGCCCTTGTTGAAGAAGTCAACGAGGATGAAGACGGGCTTGGTGCCCCACTGGCTCTTGCACGTCTGCGCGTGGAGGCCGAGGTTGCCCGCCGTGCTGGTGGAGGCCGAGTTCGTGGTATCGATGTCGCTGACGTCCGGGATGAGGATGTCGGTGGCGAGGGTCTGGTACTGGAAGTGGTTCATGAGAGGCAGCATGTTTGCCGTGACGGCGGCGGCGGCGGTGGAGTAGGTTGATGGCCGGTCGATTGTGCAGTTGAAGCCGGCGGCGGAGGTGACTTCGTAGGCCGTCTCAAAGACATAGGCGAACTCGGGGAGGAGGTAGGGGTAGTCCGTGTCGGCGGTGATGGAGGCGACGAACGTGACGAGCCGGGTGTCTGCGGAGATCATGGTCTGGAGGGTGGGCCAGCTCGAGGTCGCGGAGGAGGTGGAGGGCTTGTAGCCGTATTTGGAGATGCCCGAGGACTCAAAGACTTTTCCAAAGGCCGAGGCGGCCTGGTTGTCTGAGTTGACGAGGAGGATGGTGACGACGTCGTCGGTGTGCTTGTCCATCCAGTCCTTGACGGCGGAGAGCCAGTTCTCGAGGGTGCCGGCGTCGAGCAGGCTGCAGGTGGTATGGCAGAGCTGGAGGACGCTGCCCGAAGTGCCGTTGACGAGGTGGACCTGGGCCTGGAGCAGGCGCAGACCCGAGTTGAGGGCGACGGTGGCGTTGTAGTACTGGTTACCGGCGATGGAGTTTGAGGTGCTGGCGTCGCGGAGGAAGGCGCTGTCGTGGGCGCCCATGTGGGTGATGTTGTTGTACTTGCGGCTGCAAAGGGACGGGGAGTTGTTGCAGACTGTTGAGTTTGAGGAGGTGGCGGCGAGGGTGGTTGTGTTTACCGTCGATTCTGTTGATGAGGAGTCTGAGGGGAGGGCGTAGACTGTTGCGGTTGTGGCGAGAAGGGCCGCGAAGGCCTTGCGGAGTGAGAAGACCATGTTGTTGATGTATTTGTGTGTGAGTGTGTATAATTTATTGGTGTTGTCCGTGTAAGACTGAACCCAAAAACCTCGGATGCGTGAATCGACGAAAGCGGAAGATGGTCGACTAAATAAACGTCTCAAGAAGCGATCGTCGGTCTGGGGATCTTGCTTTGCAGCTTTGAGGAGGTTGGCTCAAGTTGCAAGAAAGCAGGAAATCCCACGAGGTCGGAGATGAGGCAGAGGAAGAGAGAAAGAGAGAGAGAGATGACGAGAGGCAGTCGAAAAAGGCGGAGACTGAAGTAGCGAGGAGGTTGAAGTGAGCAGGGCAACGCGAGACGGGATGTTACCGGACAAGGTAGGTTAAAGGTAGATCCAGGACAGGCAAAATCCTCGAGTCTGATGTAAGGCGAGGCAGAGGTGTAGCGTATTCGTAGTGTCACTGGTGTATTAGTAGTAAGCGTGGAGGCCAAAGGAAAGGTCGGTGCCGGATCCCCAGTTCTTAATATGTTGGACACATGAAGGGAGGATCCTCGCAAGGCCAGGCCAGGCCAAGGAGGGTCGAAGGGGAACACTTGGGATGTTTCCTCATCCCCCATTCGGAATCCATACTCTGTATCCGTATCCATACTCCGTACCCATACATGCTGCGCAGTACTCCGTACACTACACTAGGTACGGATACCTATGGCATGGGTACTTACGTAGCCCCAATGGGGCTGGAGAAATATCAGACAAGAGTGCGCCGAAGCTGAAGAAGGAGGTGCACCAGAGTAACGGAGTATGGCAGCAGAGTCAGAGAGACTTGGACCCTGTTGGTTGCGCGGCCCCCAGTCCGTCCCCCGTTTCCCGGTGGGGCTCCGGGCGTGTGGGCGGGCTACATGGCGGCATGGCGCAGCCACGGTTGTACTCGCACTTTTTTCCCGTCACTCTTTTTTCCCTCCCCCTTGTATGGAATACATACGAGAATTGCAAGAGAACAACGATGGAAACCACCGCGAAGAGACCAACACTAGCCACTGTGGTTTTTAATTCACTTTCAGTATGCCTGTCTGGGTCGTCTCAAAGTACGGATCCCAGATAGCTGCCACGGATAACTTACTTGCACCGCCAAATGTACACGTACATCTCACCTCTCAGACTTACACAGCCTCCCTCTCCGAATTGTGCATCAGGCCCAAGTCCGTCGGCAAAGACGTGCAGTGCAGCAAGAAAGACTCAAAGGGGGTGAAGCGTGATGTTTTACCCACCACCGAGCACATTTCACCATTGAGCTCCCATTCCCTCATCCCCCCTCCTCTCCTGCCGTCACCAATAAGAGCTCTCTCGCGCCTTTCCTCCCCCCCAGCAATGCCCGTTACATGCAGATCCAGGCCGGACTCTGTGAGTTTATGTCTCTCTGGACTGTACCCTGTACAAAGAAATGGGCGCGACCTCATTCAGAGTGCTTTAGGTGCTTTAGCTGTTGCGTAGTAAGCCCGAGACGGAGCTAGGAAATAAGGCAGCGTGTACCATCAGCGACCCTCTTCACTTATACTAAGGCCCAGAGGTGGTGTGTCAGTGTGGTGTGCGTGTCACCTTTCCCACTCTGCTGGTTCCCGCCCATTCAACTAGCGTCTTTCATAGTACAATATAGAAGTTGAAGCCTACTCCACGGACGTGAGACAAGTCCCAAGCCCAAGAGAAAACAGAACGACAGAATGGACAGTCGCAATGGTCGCTCGACGTCTCAGTCTCACACCTCTAAACCTCGGGGAGGGTGCCCCCTGATTCGAGTGCCGGGGGCCTCCCTTACCTCTCACAACGTGAACTGCGTTATTCCTTCCACAGCACGCCATCACCATGCTCATGGGAATGCATTGCGCGCCAGAGTGTCCTGCGTAGTCGCAGCCGCAACCCGAAATCTTCTGCCCAATCGCACAAAGATCTTGTCCCGTGCTTTACACTTGCTTACTGCTTAATTGCTTGATACTTTTTTTTTCCTGCTTGGGCCAAGAGACAAGAAACCCCCTGGTCCAGGACAGACTTCCCGTCCTTTTTTTTTTTTTTTTTTTTTTTTCGCTTTCGGCGCCGTCGTACCGCCCGAGGACGATCCGTGTGTGAGAAGTGAAGATGGAAATGTTTCTCTGGGGCCCAATGACGTATCTCTGGCAGCGGGTTACATGAACGTTGGGATAGTGAGGATACCTTTTGATGGAGAACATGCAAGATGCACTCCGTACAGATACATCCGAACTCTCCAGATAAACTGGATACTGAATGAGGTCGGTAGCCAAGTCAACCTCTTTTTATTTTCATCTCCATCGCCATTCGAGTGATGTAAACAAGAGAATACCTAGGCAACTTGCAAACTCTCCTGCCACGGCCATTTCTGACTTGGAAAACCTGCAACGCGCGGGCTCCAGTATTATTCATGCGGTGTGCAGATCTCTCTAGCACAACTGCAGATGGTTAACCTCGCAACCACCAACGTATCCGTACCTCGGCCAGAAAATCGCATTATTCGTAAACAGTGTTGTTCAGAAAGGCTGTCTAGAGGCTGACTCGTGGTGCCTGCTTATGGACTGCGGCTGACTCTGCACCTTTCCCCCCGTCGCCTCACATTTTCGTGTCACTTCACCGACTTTGGCATGTCAACCGATTGTACATACGCACATGCCGTTCCGACAACCGAACTACGACCACCCACCAACCCAAATGGTTGTCCAGCCGGCCAGCCGAGAGTACTTGTTGATTTCCCAAGGCTGGCTCATACAAAAATTGGAGAATCTCGACAAGAAGAGCCCACATCCAACTTTTCCGTTGCTGTTGATCACACAAGACAACACCCACACTGACACACTGATTGGGTGCGGTGCCAGGTGGAAGGAAAAGCGAGTGGCTTGCACGCTAGAGATCTACACTCCAAGTCCAGCGCCGCCACCGCAGAAAAAAGGTGTGGCTTCTCATCCGCCCAGCGAAGCGGTTCGAGTGGTCCAGACCTCCTCCCCCCCCCCGTTCCCATCTGCCGGCGGGTTCCCCAGCACTGTTCCAAGAAAAGAACTTCCCAAGCCACGGGAATTTTGTCCCAGTTTCTAGGGTCGCCACTAGCTAGACGTACCTCTGCCATCCAAAGAAGAGATGCCATTTGGGTGCATTTTGATGGAGACTTACAGTGGACAAGAAACAGGAACAGGAAACCAAGTAAACAAGTAACGGACTCTCCACCGAACAGAAAGAGCAGCTTCGTCACCATGACCATCATCAGCACTCGTTCGCCAAATGCAACATCTTCGAGGAGCATCCTCACTGGGCCACAGCAGACAAACGGATCGCTGACAAAGCCCACCCAACTGTACAACTGTCCAAGGCAGAATGAATGTACGTAGACAGAAGTACGGATATTACATGCCTGGCGAGCGGAAAAGACCGCAGTATTCCCGTCGAAAAAAAGGGGTCTCCACAGGGGTACCCAGCCCCAGATCGCCTCCCGTTGCTATTTTTGAACTCTCTGCGCAGTGCTCGTCTGCTCATGTCACTTTCTTCACTTCTTCTGCTCAGCCTCAACACTCCCTCTTCGGGACCTGACGACATGGTAGGTTAAGCGATAGCTTGGCCAAGACATGCTTATTTTTCTTTCCTCTCTCTGCCTCGCCCCGATATGCCGATCGCTTTCGTCTTTGCGCGGTCGGGAAAAGAAATCCAGACTCATCGTAGCGTATAGAGTACAGAGTACATGAACAAATGATCAGGACAAATACATCCACGTGACGCTGCGCAGCTTGTCTTTGACCTCTGTGAAACACCGCCAATATCGTCAAAACGACCTAGAGAGCTGTTGTTAATTGTAGCCGGGGGGGCAGTCAAGTGAACCGATCCGAGACAGAACGTTTTGACATCTATCAATCACCCCGAAGGAAAGGATGGTGAAAAGCCACGTCTGTCTCGTCAGTCTTGCTCGGTAGCTCTATCCGAACATGTCTACGGATACCTAGCTCTTTCTACTCTCCAGGTCCAGAAAGGTCCAGGCGCAGGATAGGAAACTGGCTTGTCCTGCGCACAAGCCGTTTCCTTTGCCTCCGCGCGGACTCTGTGTTCGTCACATTTTTCTACCTCTCTCTATCCTCCCAAGACACCTAGACCATCAAAAACCCCATGCCTAGACGAACCAAGCAAATGCCATGCCCGCGATGTGCGTGGCCCGCATCAAACACATACGTCTACCACAGTAGCTAGCGTACATTTAGTCGACCACGACATCGGAACTTGTCCCGCTAGCTAGTGAATCTCTTGGTCCTCTACTCCGTATACTAACATACCAAGACTCCCAAGACCGACGGGAGCTTCTTCGTCAGGAGGTTATCCGTAGCCCAAAATCGCCTTCCAGTCCAGAACATCGTGAACACCGAATAAACCCACCTTCCTCCATCCAAGAACCGAGGTGAGAACCATACTGCGAATCGCCCGCAAACACCACATCCAATCGCTTACGCCCCACGCTCTCGGCCTCTCCCTCCCCTCTGAGCCTCGCAAGGCGAAGGAAAGGGAACACGCAATTGAAGATGAATGTCACCTTACGAGGTTTGAGGCAAACCATCCCCCCCCCCCCCCGGTCATGGGGGGGAATCCGGCACCTCGGCGCTCGACCGGGCACCATGCGCCCACATCCCTGCGCTACCCTTCCGTGAATCGTGACGAACCACAAGGCAAAGGGCAAGAGATTCAAACCTCTGACTTTTAGGTGACTAACCAACAAAACACATGTGGCCTAGTGGCTAAATCGCAATCAAGGAAAGATCGCACGGCCCATTCCGAGGCGTACGTAACCCTGCCCTGCCACGGTTCGGCCGGGGAAGGGGGAAAACCAAAAAGACGCCTGTCAAGTACGGGAACGACGATAGTAGGTACGGTAAGGAGGGTGGGGGAGGGACCGTCACCCGAAAACATGCTGTCAACCTAAGCCACGCCGAGCGCAAAACCACGTCCGCCGCCGCAGCACACACGAGCATGTCGTTCGTCTTAGCCCATTTGTTGAACCCGAACCGTGGACGAATTCGCCAATGCCATTAATGCCATTGTCAAAACCTTCATCACCCCTCCCGTCACGCGTGTCCTGTCTTTCACCCGGACAAGGGCGCAGCCGCAGTTCATGCAATGCTCAAGTTGTGTTCAATGCTCAGAATTTTGATGTCTTGTGTCTCTGGATCTCTCTAATCTGCTTACTCAGTGACCACTGGATCAGACAGGCCATCCTTCCGTGTTCATCAGTTTATTCATCATAGTGCCTTTGCGCTAGCCAACACTTCCTCCACCGTGGAGTCTGCGCAATGTGCTCTGACCCTGACCCATGTTCCGGCTCTAGTCGACGTACGAATGCTTCCTTTTCCCCTCATTTATTCAGGGTCCGGCGCGAATCCGGACTCGGAACCGGCCTGCGCCGCCTCCATGTCCTTGAGCGCCTTCTGGCCCTCTTCCGTCGTGGCGTCGATAATCTGCTCCTCCAGACTCAAGATGCCGGCCTATAGGTCATGATGCTGTTAGTGAACCGGCTCATCAGACATCTGCACAGAAGAAGGAACTACTCACGTCTCCAAGCTTGCCGACGATATCCTCAGCCTCTTCGACCTTCATCTTGCCCAACACCTTGTTGACCTCATCCAGACTGCCACTCTCCAGAGCCTTCTGGAAATCCGCGCTGAATGTCTCAAAAATACCCCGACCCTCCTTCACGGCGGGGTCCTCGCTGTCCTTGGGCGGGATCGTAATCTTGATCTCCGTGCCGGGCTCCACCGCGTGCAGCTGGATCTGCTCCACGCCCTCGGGCTCGCTGGCGCGCTCCTTGACAATCTCCCGCGCCCGGTTCCTGATCTTGCCGTACGTGTCCTGCACGTCCTTGAAGAACACCTCCTGCGCCTGGTGGCCCTTGGTCGTGATACGCTTGAAGAACATGCCCACGCCGTCCTTGCCCAGCGCTCTGCAGTACTGCAGCAGCAGCGCCTGGTGGACGCACTGCCGGCAAAAGTCGTCCTTGCTCTCGAGAGCGGCGTCAAAGGCGAGGACCAGAAGGCCGTCCGTCTCCCGCTCTGTCAGAATCTGCGGGTTCTTGGAAAGGTACTGCGCGCTGGATGTGTAATCGTCGGCCTTGATCTGCGCAAACCTCTTGGCGGCGGGCGACGCCTCGATCTCCTCATCGTCGTCGTACGACTGGGTCGACTTGGCCGGAAGGGACTGCGTCATGTCAAAGTTGGGGTTCAGGAGCTCCGGCTTGCGCTGCTCCTCCTTCTTCTCCGTGTCCTTGGACTTGTTGACATGCGAGCTGTCGAACCCCGTGTGGATGCCCTCGCTCGTGATCTTGCGTCCCTCCTCCTTCTCCAGCTCAGCCAGCTTGGCAAACAGTTCCTTTTGCAGATTCTGCACCTTGGTCAGGTGGCCCTCGACACCCTCAAGCATAGCCTTGTAGCGGTTCTCGGGCTTCTTCTCGTCCAGCTCCTTGTTGACCTGATCCAACAGCACAGCCATCATCTTGGAGAAGCTAGGCAACGGCTCCGAATCGGCGTGGATTCCCTCGGGACGCGCGGGCGGCTGATCGTCTTCGGGCTTGCCAGCGGATTCCATGACGGCCTGGAAGGCGACCTCGCCGGGGTTGCGGGTCTCGGCCTCGGAGGCATGGGACTTAAGGGCGTCCAAGAGGTTGGAGATGCGCTTCATCAAGCCATCGTTGATGATGCGCTCGTACTTAAGCGTCTCAATCTGATGCTTGCGCTGCAGTCGCTCCTGGTGGATTTGGTTCTGTTTCGCGCGGATGAAGGAGCGCTTATCGACATTAGGGTGGACCTCGACATCTGAGTCGTCGCTGAGCTCCAGAGCGTCCTATCGTATTTACATGTTAGCCACTGCGGTCGGCATCCCCAGGTCCATGGTTGGGGAGGGCATGGGGGATATGAAACGCACCCATTTGCTGTAGTCGACGGGCATCTTAACGGGTGCTTCAGCAATATGATGCAGATGAGTGATTGCCTCCAGTTGCTGTGGGCATCGATTGTTGACTTTGAAGCGATGTTGTTGAGTGGAATGTTCTGGATTTTGATTGACAATGGCTGCTGGTTGGCAGGAGCTTGTGCAGAGCCAGTACGGTGCCACTGTGCATCACAGGTGCGGGGCATTACCCCGCCGCTGTATTGCTATCCCGGTAGCTGAGCTCAGCAATGAGATCAGCAACGACATCCCTCTCACCTTTCACTTTGACTCTTTGTGTTCACTTGTCACACAGCCCGGTTGAAATTACCGTACCTAGCAAATCAATTCTCCCAAGTTGCAAGCTGATAATTGACCAGCTTCACGCAGAGTCTCTTTCTTAGTTTCCGAGCAGTAGTTTGCAAGGTGGCTACCGAAAAGACAAAGTCTTTGTAGGATGAAATCCCTCCTTCGCAACTCTCCCAACCCCAACATAACCCCTCTGATTGCTCACAATCCTCACACCCTTCACTACCATATCCGTAGAATGATGCGTATGCCCAAATACCCAGCACCGTACCCGACTCAACTCCTCAACTTCCTCCAATACATCCGTCGCAAAAGCCGAAGACCATGGGCTACCCGTAAACCTCGGCTCCGAAGTCCCCTTCAACAAAGGCGCATGGTGAGTCGCAGCAACAACCTCTCTCCCACGCGCCACCGCTTCCCGCACCTCTGTCTTCAACCAAGCCAAGTCCACTCTGTGAGCTTCGCAGTGTGCCTCAATGCTCCACCCCTTGATGTGCTGGAAATCCTTGACTCTCCCCACGACCGCAGCCCTCGCCTCCTCTGGGACCATCGTCCACAATGTGCATCCCAGGATGCTGACGTCGGAACCGGGGATGTCGAATCTATGCTGGTGGAGTATATGTAGTCTCCCCTCTAGCGGTGGCTCTGCTTCAAGCTTCGCTACCTCTGCGAGTGTTTGGTCGTACGTGAGACCGTGAAACTCGTGATTGCCTAGTACTAGTAAGACACCCTCGTACCGATCCGTCTGACGGCGGATGAACCCGAGGTACCTGTCGTAGTCGGATAGACTACCTATATCACCAGAGAGTAGGAGATAAGGTGCCGCGGCGGGAAAGTCAAATGTTGAGTAATCTCTGCTAGCTTCGAGATGCAGATCTGAGAGGAATTGCACAAGGCCCGTCGATGCCCTTTTTGCGGCCATGGGCCCAGCGGCTTCCTTTGGGCGAAGTGGTGTGAGGAAGGTCTTTTAATTGCACTTGTGTTAATCCGCTCTGCTGCTTAGCCACACCCAAAGTGTTGATGTGGAGGCAAGAGTAGCCTATCATAAACCTCTCAAATCACGATTGCTGGTGTACTGTGTATTATCTAATCAGAATGCTTTCATTGTTGACCTTTGGAGGAACAAAGTTGACTAGTTTTATTGCCGTCTTTGGGGTTTCCATGATAATGAAGAACGTTGAACAGAGAAGTCACACGTATAGGTCAATAGTGTCAATCACCACACGAGACGGGTTCAGATGCAGTTGAGAGTTGGGTAATGAATGGTCAAAGTGATTTAAATGCTCAGCTGTTTTCTTCCACCCAACTTGCGTCGTTTGAGTCGTTAAATTGCTAGTATCATATAGTACAGGTGTTTCCGCGCACACGTTTCGTTATGAGTACACTATTGCGTGAGAGGTCTCAAGCCTCCCTATCGAAAAGGCATCCAAGTCGCTCTTGTCTAAACCAGATGCCAGGCTAAACTCCATACACAAGGCTCTCAACGGCCTCCCTCCAACTTCCTACTGATACGACCGTGGTCGGGGGTATTTATTACTGCATGGTCTTCAAGAAACCATCCAGATCGAAACTCTCCTCATACTGGCGATTGTCCCAAAGATCACCCAAATCGTCAAGCCAAGCCTTCTTGCCCGGTTGCTTGCCCGTGACGACGTCTCCCGTTTCGATATCCACCATATCCTCCTCTCTACCCTCCATCGTGTTTTGCGGCTTGTCTGATATGAGACTGGGCCCTGTGTCCCCAAGATTGAAGAGATCCAGAATTTGGTCTGTATCCATGGTGGCCAAGCCGGCGTTCTGTTGATTGACCACGGTTGAAGCTACATCGATCTTGAAGCGTTGCAAGCTCAGAATCTTCTCTTCCAGAGTGCCTCTGGTCACCAAGCGGTATACGTTGACAACCTTCTTCTGACCAATCCGATGAGCTCGATCCATGGCCTGCATATCCTTCTGCGGATTCCAGTCGTGTTCGACGAAGATGACCGTATCGGCACCCGTCAAGTTGAGCCCCAAACCTCCGACACTGGTAGTCAGAAGCAAGACGTCGTACGACGGGTCGCTATTGAATTTATTGACGATGTCCTGTCGCTTGTTGGCTTCGACCCCACCATCTAGACGAAGGTGAGTGACGCCTGGCAGCATAGTCTTGAGAACCGTATTCTGAACCATGTCCAACATCTCCTTCATTTGGCAGAAGATGAGGGCGCGGTGAGGCTTGATTGGCTGATACAGAGGATCGTTCGACTCGGCTTCTTCCACACCAATGCCGCAGTCGACCAGTAGGTCTCGCAAAGCGGTCAATTTGGGTGCATGAACCGGATCCTCGAGACTGGTGCCTTGCTTGTTAAGAATGCGTTGAGTCTCTTCGTACATGCCGTGGCCGGGCTTCATGACCATGGCTGGAGAGTTGCAGAGCTTTCGCATGTACTGCAAGGCCTGGAAAATGTGCGATTTGGCGTCCTTGTCTTCACGACCGGCCTCTTCTTGCAGCTTCTTGCCTTGCTTTCTGGTAAAGTCATCGAACAGCTTCTTCTGGAGGTCGCTCAAGTCGCAGTAGTAGTTCTGCAAGATCTTGGGTGGCAGATCATCCAGTACCTCCTCCTTGAGACGTCGCAGAAGGAACGGCAGGACTTGCTTGTGGAGAGCCTCGATAGCGAGAGCACCTGCTTCTTGTTCTTTAGAAGACGCCTTGCTGAAGCGACTTGCGGCAATTGGCTTTGCAAACCGGTCCAGGAACACCTTCTCCGCACCAAGGAAGCCGGGCATCAAGAAGTCGAACAAGGACCAGAGCTCCAACACATTGTTTTGGATGGGTGTTCCGGTCAGAATTAGCCGATGGTTGCTGGCCAGCTTCTTGACGGAAATAGTGATCTTGGCCTTCGGGTTCTTGATCAAATGTCCCTCGTCCAAGATGACGTAGTTCCAATTGTATTTTGCAAGAACGTCGGCGTCGTTTCGGCAAACGTCGTAGCTGGTAACGACGATATCGGTCTTGTCCAGGTTATCCTTCATACTCTTTCTCTCGGCTGGCGGGCCAACATAAGCAGTGACGCTCAGGAAGGGCGCATAAGTCTTGATCTCTTGCTGCCAATGGCCGGACAACGTAGGAGGGCAGACAACTAGAGATGGGAGACGGCGCACGTCAGGTGCACCTGTCTTCGCAAATTCTTCAGCGCGCTGGTGATGGTCGCTGGCAACCATGCAAATGGTTTGCAAGGTCTTTCCAAGACCCATGTCGTCGCAAAGAATGCCGTGCAAGTGGTACTTGTTGAGGAAGTGAAGCCAGTTGACACCATCTTGCTGGTAGGAACGAAGTTCTGCCTTGATAGCGACGGGAATCTGGAACGATTCCACTTTCTTGGGGTCCAGCAGTTGGGAAATAAAGGTTCGTTCGCGATCTCTACCCTTGAGCAGCTCTTCAGACAGACCTGGGGGGTCTGGAATGCCTGCCTCCAGGGGTACGAGCTTGACCAATGTTGCAAAAGAGGTTGTCGCAATGAGGCGAATCTCGTTATCGGAGTCGCTCATGCGGCCCAAAACGGGGACAATGAGGAAGATAACGTAGGGAAGAATGGCATCGCCCATCACGGCAATCAAGTGGTAAATGGCTTCGATCGCACCTTGACGGAAGTTGAGGTCGATAGGGTTGCTGATGGATGGCAAGACGTTTTCGACGAGAGCTGTCATACCCTCGACAGTAATAACGCTACAAATTGTAGCCATGCATTTCGCTGCCATGTAGCGAAAGACGGAGAGCTCGGAATGGAGGGCCTTGATCACCAACGGCACCTTTTCCATGATAAATGGATGCATGGCCTTGTCAAGTGTTGGCATCAGCGTCCGAATAAGGGACAAGGCGTCAACAATTTCTTGGCCAAATGTATTCTCGGGGTCCTTGGCCTCAGCCGGCAATGCGCCAGAGAATGCTTTGACAAGAGGGTCCTCCATGAATACCCTGATAGTAGGTACGGCCGTGAGCAGCTCGGCGCCGTAGGTCTTGGAAAGAATCTCCAGCGCCTCCTTAGCGCCACGACGGGTGATGCGAGCAGCCTTGACTTCTTTTGCCCACTTGGCAGCGTCCGCATGATCGACTCGATCTTCTTCTTTCTGCATTGAAAGCACGCAATCCGTCTTGGCTGCGTGGACAGGGAATTCTGGAGTCTCGGCGACCTCCACACAGGAGAACTTGATCAGGTTGGAAACAACCTTGTCGGCTGGTCCGCGACGACCCATCTCGTTGAACACTTGCACAAGTCTTGCAATGGTCGCCGACGCCCGGCTCTGGAGCACCTGGTTTTCCTCTGTCTTGATGCTGTCCATGATGCCCTTGATCAGTGGGCTGGGCTTCTTGGGCAGGGCCTTGATCGCAACCAAGGCGCAAGCTGCACCTGCTTTGATGCGAACATCCCGTGAGTCCTTGGCGGCCTTGGCGTCAGTGATCGCAGAAACGGCCACTTCCCTGGCCTCGCTGAGCATCTGGCTAGCAACCAGACGCTGTCCTGGAGACATGGCCTTCTTGAGCTTGTCGAAATCCTCTCCAACGACCTTGTCTGCAACGACAATGGAGAAGGCACCTGGACCTGCTTGCTCGTCACCTTGAACAAGAACAGCCAGTGTCGGAAGCCGTCCACTAGACACTTTGCCGTGATCGCGGAACATGTTGAGAAGTTGTTGACATTGGGATCGCACCCGATGCATGAAGCTGACGAGGTCGCCGTAGTGAGCAGGACGTTCAGTCTCAATGATCTTCTGCAGAGGCGCTGCGTATCTTTGTGCTCCTTCGGCTGGGCCGTTGGTAGCATACTCATCAATGACCATACATGCTGAGAGCTGTGTGGATGAAGCCCGGTCGGAGATACCGGCGAGAAGTAGCTGGTCGTACTCGGCAAGGCTGGCAATAGGAATGAAGGACATGATCAGGCCCATGGCTTTGGCGGCTGATACTCTCGATCGAATCAGAGTATCCATGCCGACGAGGTCCACATCTCCCTGGATCATGTGCCCGTCAACGTCGTGGGTATGAGAGGTTACTGGAACGTCATCCGTCTTGGCAGATTTGCGCCGACGCTTGTTTGCTCTCTCGGGCCCGTCAGGGGAAGAGGCCTTCCGGGCAGGTGTGACGGCGACAGGTGCATAAGTGCCGCCCGATGGCTTTTGGAATAGGTGGGCGGGCATGGGTAAGGGATGCCGGGACACACCAATTGGGTGTAGTGTAAGTCTCATCAGAGGCTCGACGTGTGCAGCGAACTCGTCGGCAAGAATCTCGGGCGTCTGTGCAAGTGAGCGAACCAGTGCTGTCCAAACGTCCAATGACATCGCCAGTGTTTCTCTATCCCTCTCAACCAAGACGTTCTGGAAGATCAGTCGTAGAATTCTTCCGTTGAGCCAGCCTCGTGAGTTCTCAGCTCCCAGATTCGCGAATGTCATCAAAGCCTTCAGCACAGCTAAGCGAACGGAAGTGATGGTGTGTCGTAGGAAGGGGTACAGGCGCGGCACCAGCAAGGTGAACGAACGCTCCTCATCCTGCGCAGCGGACGTCTCCATGGCCTGCAGAACTTCGGGGTAACTGCAGAGTGTGGCAAGTAGATCCATGATCTTACCAGTGCTGGCACTGAGGTCGTCACCAAGATCGGCCAAGCTGCCCCACATGATGTTGATGAGGCTGTCAATGGATCCAGGGCGTAATGTGACGAACTCCTTGGTCATGGGGAGCAAGGTCGCGGCGCTCACTGCTCTGACATCGTCGTCATGTTCCTCCAGCCCCTTCATGACTAGACGGACAACGCCATCGATCATCTCACTGTCCTCCAGCAAAAGGTCCTTCCTAACCGCTACGACGTATCTCAGTCCAACCATGCCACCGTGGCAAACAGACCACTGAAGCATATCGAGCTGGAGATCATCCTGCATGACCATTTGGTAGAGAATCTTGTAGATGCCGTGAACAGATTCTGCCGGGATATGGCGAAGGACCGACCCGAGAGATTGTCCTATGGTTTCGCGGATCGGAGCGACTGAGGTATCGGAACTGTAGTCGGTGAATCTGTCCAGCATAAGGACGCAGCAAAGTCTGCATGCCAAATCGTCCAGCCAAGACTGGTTCAAGCGGTCATTCTCAGCCCGTGATTTTGAACGAACTCTGCCAGCTCCACCTCCATGCACACGAATCACTTCCCGAATGCCCATCGCAGCCCCGTGGCGAGTCTCCCAGGAAGGGTCAAAAAGATCGACCTTGAGGAAATCGCAAAGTCTGTCGTAGGGCCACTCAGCACCCTCCATTGTCTCGTCAACCTCGATTTCGGACTTGATCGGTATCACTTGTCCCTTGAATTCGCTGACGACCTTTGATTCCTCATCGACGTCTGCTGGTCTGTCCAAGTTGAAGTAGTCATTGACCTTCCCGTTCTTCTGCTTTGTGTCGGCGTCTGCTGCTGGTGTTTCGTCGAAACCTTCGGATCCTGCTGTTGTCGTCCTTCTCATGGTTAAATCGCCAAACCCCCCTTTTCCTTGAGCAGCCTTCTGCAACTCTCTCTTGCGCTTCCTCTTGAGAACGTTGAGTTGCCTAGAGCTCAAGCCTGCTTCTTCTGCCGGCTGGCTTTGACCGTGGGAGATGGCACTCTCCTTGTTGCCATTGTGGCCATTTGCTGACTCCTGCGGAGTAAGAGGGCTATGTTCCTTTTCGACAACGACTGGCATCTCGGCATCCTCAAAGACCCTGCCCAAGAGGCCAAGCCGTCCATTGAGAGTCTTCTTTTGGTGGGCTAGCCGTGCCGGTGGGTCCAATGATGCCAGAGCATACTCGATATTGCCGCCTCTCAGAAGTTGGCGACCAAATTTGATGATGTGCTCTACGTTGAGTGACCCCAGTTTGAGAAGCTCGCTGGAAGAGAATGAAGCAACATCCTTTTCCTCCTCCTTTTTCACGTGGCCATTTTCTTCTGGCTCATCCTTCTTGACTGGTGCAAAGTCCTCATCCTCATTAGGGTCATACAGAGGTGCATTCTCGGTGATCTTGCCTATCGCCTTGGCTGCTGTAGAGCGCGTCTCCCAGTCCTTATGCCGGAGATAAGGCACAACTCTGGATAGAAGGTTGAAAAGCTCATCAGGATGCTGCTTTTGCCAGTCGGCAAGTTGGTTGACAGCGGTGTCACGGATTAAACGGGTGCTGCCCGTTTCGAGAATCCTACGCGAAGCAGTTAGTAATCAGTTCACCATGCGATGATGCAAAGTCTCGACTGCGACTGAGTACCAAGCCCGCCAAGCACGGGCATCCCCAGAGCTGAGGTGGGCTGGATTCAGATAAAGCAGACAACGAGGGTTGTGTTGTGTTGCCAAGATCAAAAGGGATGTCAGGTGGCTGTACTCACGTGACCAATCTGTCAAGTCTATTGAAGCAAGGTTAGTGCTAGTTCAATGTTGATCGGATCTGAGTGATCGCGAAAGTTGCCAGGAAGGAACCTTACCTCGACGCCATTTTGAATTATGATGTATTTGCTGAGACTTTCATCATCAGACTGAACTTCTGTGAGAGATGTTAATCATGAGTTCCAAAAGGACGAGGTGAGTCCAGGGTTGTTTGGTGAAGGAAAGATGACAACATGAATGCTTGGAGATGCAAGGATGAGGTAGGAGGTAGGGAAGAGGGATGCTGGAGTTTAAACACGCGGTACATGCCACCTTCCCGTGCCCAAACAGAGATGATGCAGTCTGGGGTCGAAACTGAATCATGGCAGCTGGTGGAGTAACATGTAAGGTACGATGAGGTGATCTCGATAGTGAAGGGAAGGGCAGGTAGAGCGATAGAGGACGCGCCGGACCGAGACGGCCAATGGCATGTTGAGATGGAGAGAAAGTGGTGCAAGGTTTGGGGTGGATATGAGCATAACGGGGAAATGAAGGAAACGCGGACTCGATGTAGGTAATACGTACCGAAATTGAGAAAGCGGGTAACGTTGATGGGGCCGGATGCAAATCGCGATCCTGTCCACTGCGGATCAAGCCGAGTCTTAATCAAAGGATGCGACTACCATGCATGCATCAGAAGTAGGACGATGCAGGAGAAATCGCCGCGTCGAGTCGGAGCTTGTTGCAAGTTGTGCAAGATGATGGACGGAATGCGAGAAAGTTGCGTAAACACGTAGAATCTCGGTGCAAGGCGTTATGCGTAGACGCGTCGTGAATAGTTGTGGTGTGTGCGCCGAATTGTCGCAAAAGCTGCTGTTGCAAGGAATAAGCGTCAAGTCGTGAGAAGAAGAAAAAGGCGCCTATTAAAAGGTGAGGTGAGGTTCGAAAAAGGGAGGGATGACGCCTTAAAGTGGGAAGGAAGAGACACGCATATGTAGATATGGGCACCTTCAAGTAGGTATTGATCTTGGGGAAAGGCAGACGCAATGCCAGCCAGGTGCGAGGCGGGAATGCAGTGCAGTGCGTGAAGGCGGGCGTGGTTGTGGATTGGGGGGATGGTGCCTGCCTGAGGTACGGATACCAGATCCTACCTAATGGGACTGAACGGGGCGGGATAAGAAGGTACGAATACACTTACTGAGGTGGTGAAGGCTTTTGCCCAGGTGGTTTGGGGCCTTGGGCACTGCTGTTGGTGCCTGTGGTGCTGACCAACCTAAGAGAAACGAGCCAATGGGATGCGAGTATTGAAGGGGTCGCGTCAAAAGGGCAGCACCTCGACGTCGCTCTGGAAGGGAAATTTTGGGGTGGAGGGGCCCGGACAGTCTTAAAGGTATGCCTGCAGTACTTTTATAATTACCCGTGGGCCCGTGAGAGAAAAAAAATGGAAGGAAAGCCAGCCGTTCCTTCACGCAGCGACGGCGTCTCGCTTAATCTCCTTAGCGTCATCTAGTCACCTAGTCCACCTCCACTCCCCAGCAAACAATAAACCCTGTTCTGCCACTCTGGAACCTGTCGTCGTCGTCGTCTTCTCCGGCCGCCTTTTTTTTTTTCTACCATGTCATCGTCCCTTTTCGTCCACTTCTCCCTTTCGATATTCCATGTCTGTTATCACCCCGGTTAGCACTCTTAACCTCTTAGAGGGTCACGATCTCATCTCGCGACGACCTCCATTCCATCGTGACTCCCGAACAATTTTACAAGAAACCTCGAATGACGGTGTCACCGAAGCATTGCGGCTTTTGCAAACCAATATATGCATTTCAACGCCACGAGCCAGCGACGCCCTCTACCATCTTCATCAGACGTATCTCTGACTGGGGCAGATGGGGGGGAAAACTTTACTCGACCTCGTCATTGAAGACTAACCAACCCTGAAGAGTGCATCCGCAAGTAGACAGGAACAGACTCGCTGACCACATCACACCATACACATACATACATCTGGCGTCGCGAACCCTCGGAACTCTTCCACCTTTTGAGTTTTCTCTCCGTCTCTGACAGACTGGCATTCATCCCCACGCGCAAAGTTCCGCTCGGCACTTTTCAGAACGGCGTCTCATCCTCTACAATGGCATCATCAAATTACAGTGAGAGCTAGTAGTCACTCAGTGAACAGGCAGGCACACAAGCTTCCACGTTCGCATGCGCCATTCAACTTTCTGAGTTCTCTCCCTTGCGTGAGATGGCCGGCGGGCCTGCCTTGTCTTGTCTTGTCCCTTTCCAAGACTTGCAAGAATTGGCGGCAGATCTTAAGCGGTTTCTCTTGGATACCTGCCACCACCGTTGCCCCTTGCCACCGACTGACTGGGCGTGGCTTTTCCCCCAAACCGAAACACCAAATTGCCATGTTGCCGTGGTATGGGCTGCTCTTCAGCAACACGCCAAACTCTGGTCATCCATCGCATCTGATTAAACCAACTAGACAGATCGGTCTAAGGTCTCCAAGCTGGCCCTGCAATGGGCAGGCCGGGCTGCCCCTTGGAACCTAGACCGGACCTGCGCTACACACAGACAAGACGACCTCTTGTACCTCGCCCTATCAGCAGCACTGGGCACCAGGCAACCTTTCACGACCTTGCGCCGCCAGGAAATCCGATGACTAGACCTGCTGCGGCAACGAATCACTGGATGACTTGTCTGCTCAGTGTTTTGAATGGATGGATGGATGGACTGAGGTATGAGATGGATCATGGGAAGATGGCGATGGCGATGGTGGCAGGCAGATTGCGAGTGCAGCAGACCAACGCCAGCGCGAGGATCATCACAGGCATGCTATGCTGGTGCAGCTGCGGCCAGTTTAGGCTGATGCCTCGAATGGGAAACAAGCTGCTTCGGCTGCCACAAGACGTGGGGTAAGCTTGGGAATCTCGGCGTAGCCCTCCAAGGGTCCCGAGAATCTGGCGTTCCGACGGCACGCTGCTCTGATTCGTCTCCGCCACCAGTCCGTTCTTTTCACCTTTGCAAATGCTGGCCGAGCTGACTACCTAGATTGCAGCCACAGACACAGCAAATGCACTGCTAGCGACAACAAGTCATTACGGACTTTTGGATTGCGATGGCCTCATGTCATCTCAGTCGTGCTCCGCTCGTCCCGTCCGTCCCCGGCCGTTCCAGGGGCGAGCTGCTAGAGTGTCTGTCTTACCCGCCTCGGCCTTTTCGACTACCCTGGCTCTTCAGTTTACTGCCATTTCCTGGTTTTTTCCTACCCCTGACAACTGGCCGAGCAAGCCAAAACGCGGCCATCGATGAATGTGACTCTCACATCATCATGTTCCTGGCTTTCCGTCTGCTGGCTAGCAAACTCGTTCTCTGTTCTGTTCTTCCTCTGAAATTCGGACTGCACCAGCGAATCGCCTTGGTTCCTGCTCTCCCGCCGACACCTTAATATCCAGCAACGTGGCTATCCCGTCAAAAGCTGGAGGGAGTACGTGTACTCTGTGTCGTTCATGTGGTCAGTGCGCATAGCTTCCCGGTGACTTGACTGGGGTGCATATTGGACGGACCCAGCTCCATCCATGTTGAAGCTCAAACTACTTGCTGATCGCCCGGTGTCATGAATGCTGCTCAAGCCTCAAGCACACCAATAATCGAGTCTCCCGGTCGCTGCACACTAGGAAAACTTTTTTGCCCCGGCCTCCTGTAGCCACAGAGCCACAGAGTCACAGACAGCTTTGCATGCGCTCAGGCACACAGGCGCAGGCCCTGCGAGTAGTTGAAGGTCTGCGCGGAAGTGTCGGAACGGTCGAGGGATGTGAAAGAAGAAAGACCCTAAGGAAAAACGGGTTGACATCTTATGCCTCCACATTTAATGCTTGACAGGTGCTGCGTCGAAGAGAATGCGCCTGTCCGGGCAAGTGTATCCGTCTATGACGAACTTCTGGTATTGTCGGAGATTCGCATATAGTTCTGCGTTCACGGATACAGCTGCTTTGTTGCGGAAGAAGTCTTCGAGAGCAATTGGCGAGACCGAGTCGGACCGCCCTTTTCCAAAGCATATCAAGCAATGGATGGATCTTGCAGAGATCCAACCACAGATCGGCGAGTTTCACCGTACCTGAGTAGATAGCGTTTGGATGGGCTCAACGGCCGTTGCTGTATCGGAAGCTCAGCCAATTCCTTCAATAAGCTTATAGAAACAACAGACGGATTACATTTTTCGAGTCATGGGCATCGGAACAATGAAGCTTTCTTGGGCTGTTCGTCCCGCGAAGACAGCCATCCAGCATGGGCTTTTCGCTAATGACTGGGAATAGAGTCCATAATCAGGCAGAACATCTAGAGCAATATATTTCGTATTTACTGAAGAGTGTGCCGCCGTTGTTGACTGATAGCTGATTTCCAAATAGTTTCATCGTTGTGTAAAATGCTGACTCTGCTGAGAGAGGGTGGTTTAAGTGGAAGTCACGTACAGTGTTAAATAGTCATAAATACGTCGCACACTGTACAACCAACTGTGCGATTATGCCTCCTTTGCCCTTTCGTCCTCAGGCACCCACCGCCTGCCAAATGGGCGACCGCACCCCAGGTTAGACGCGCCCTGACCTCCCACGCAGGAGGACCTCGCGATTCCTAGACGCGTCGTCTATCCCCACCACCAGCAATCGACTATCACGACTTGTCAGTATACCGATGAAAATACTGCGCGACTCGCAGCGAACTCCATCAGCGACTTCAACCGCGCAAAATCGCCGCCCTTGAGGCCGCGACTCTCTCCCTCATCATGTACATCAAGCAGTGCATTATTCAAGGCTTCAAGAGGTGTGCCCCTTGCGACGAGACCGCAGAGAGTGACACCCCGCTGACTTGACAATAGCTACAAGGAACAGACCGTCATCGAACCCTTCTCCCCCGGTACGAATGTCATTGTCGGTCGCAATGGATCCGGCAAGAGTAACTTCTTTGCGGCGATGCGCTTCGTCCTGAGTGACGCCTACACTCAGATGACCCGCGAGGAGCGCCAGGCTCTATTGCACGAAGGCTCAGGATCGGCTGTCATGTCTGCATATGTCGAAATCATCTTCGACAATAGCGATGAGCGCTTTCCGACGGGAGGCAAGGAGGTCATTCTGCGTCGCACCATCGGAACAAAAAAGGACGAATACTCGGTCGATCGCAAAGTTGTCACCAAGAACGATGTTGTCAACCTACTCGAGGCTGCTGGCTTCTCTAGGTCGAATCCCTACTACATTGTGCCCCAGGGTCGTGTCACGGCCCTGACCAACATGAAGGAGTCTGACCGACTCACCCTTCTGAAGGAGGTCGCCGGTACACAGGTCTACGAAGCGCGCCGAACCGAGTCGCTCAAGATCATGAACGAGACCAACAACAAGAGAGAAAAGATTGACGAACTTCTTGGTTACATCAAAGAGCGTCTTGCTGAGTTGGAAGAGGAGAAGGAGGAGCTCCGTGGTTTCCAGGACAAGGATCGCGAACGCAGATGCCTCGAGTACGCCTTGTACTACCAAGAGCAGCAGCAAATTCA